AAATCTTTGTGGTCTCAGGTGTTCAACGTCTGCTTAAATGTTAAACTTTATTTTTTGAAGAATTGAAGTGCAAGTTCATGTATGTTGCCTTCATTGTTTTCAATATTCAAAAAAAAAGTCAATTCGAAGATCGTTATTTGATTTGTGAAAGCAAACAAAATTCACGCTGAATTATGATCATTTAGCTTGACTCATCACAAGTTGCTTCAGTCAATTCTCTGAAAATTATTTATGTTATGAGTAAATAAAAAAAATTAATGTCTTAAAATTTTCATGATTCATTTTTATTTTTTACTTTCTGTGTCTTCTCGTATGCTAGAGGAGGTCAGTTGTTTTATGTGAATCAAGTCTCTTTCTTTTATGTTGATCATATTTTCTTGTATATATGTTTCGCTTTCAGCAAACATTGTGCATAAGAAAATTGAAAATAAATGATATTCTCTTGAGACGAAGATGAAAATAAGCACAGAAGATTCGTTGTTGACTCTTTTTGATGACTCATATATTCATTGAGTTGATAATAACATAAGCATAAGGTTGATTTCCCGCTAAATATCATAATGACTTTCATTTGAGCCGAGAGTGAGATATAACAATTCTCGAAGTGTTTTAGAAATTCAATGATTTGTACTTAGCAACAACAAGACAACGTTGTTAACACCATTTTGTGGGCACCATGCGAAACACAAACTCCTCAACAATACAACACGCTGACGGTGAAAGAACGAGAACGAGTCTCAAAAGCAAAAAAAATATTGAATACAATTTTATGCTTTACGCGAACATGATTTGAATGCGTAATGTATGTTTTTATTAATTTTATTTATTTATTTTGCTTTTATTCATCGTGTTTCCATTCAAAAAATGATTGTCTCGATGCTAAGACGTCAACGCACACAATTTTAAATGTTCTATTTTGTTTAAAGGAAAGTTTCACTTTAAGTTTTTATTTCGTTCTGTAACTATTTATTACTCACTATAATTTCTTCAATTATTTTCCTCCTGTTGCTACATTAAAGTTTTAAATGAAACAACCGAAGTAATACTGAGAAATTAATACTTCTTTGAGTATAAGTTTCATCATATGTTTTCCTCTGACTCGCGTTAATTGACCGTTTGTTTTACTGCCGTTGTCCTATTTTTAGTCATCTGCGAGCTCGTGCACAGTTTTTCTTCTTGAAAAAAGGTGAATGAAATAACTGAAATTATTGCGATATTTGCCCGGTTTATGAACCTAAGTAATAACATCACAGGGTTTCGCATTTTCCAAAAAATCGTGGGAATGGGGACGGTCGAATTTCTCTGAGTCAGCTTATGTCAGGGAATATTCAGCTTAGCGTGGGTGAATCTAGATATAAACAATGAAAAAATGTCTTGTTTTTTAAATAAACAAAAACAATTTTCCTCATTGGGTTTCATAAAACTCAAACATTTTATTAAAGAAGGCCACGTTATCTATCTATCGTTCCTTTTTAACATCCCTAAAATTTTTTTATCTATCATGAAGGATAATAATGAAAAATATGCAGAAAAATCATTGTTAAAATATTTCTCCTCGCATTTTTCTATTCACTCAAAACATTTTTTCGTCATGAAGAAAGACATTCCGTTTTAGATTGAAGCTTACAATTCATTTCGTGCCTTCTTTTCTCCTACATGATGTAGTTGCATGGATAAATATATTTCCGTAGTTTGTAAATAGAATATGCAACAATTTAAGTAGTTTTTAAGGTGAATGAATTGATATTTATCTTGGATAAGTTGAAATGAAATTCGATCAATCGTTTGACGGCAAACTACGATTCACATTCTAAATGTTCTCGCATATTGTTGTCATCACACCCCCGTACGAATCAAAACATTTCCGATGTTGTAACGTATTTTGATATCATCACAAATATTTCTATTAAAACTTATCAAATCTTCGATCTTTACAAATGCGAAGGTTTTTATTTCACATTTCAATCTTCAACTTCATCAAACGACATTATTTGTCTCGTAATGGTCATAATTGAAATTTGCTAGAATTGTTCATGGAAAAAAGAAAAAAAGAAACGAAATCAAGTTGAAAAGGGAGGATGGAAAGAGTTGCTTTCTCATTGCATTCATAGTCAATCCAAACATAAAAAAGTGATGCTGGCGATAAAACGAAAGCATAAAATTACTGAACGAAGAAGGAGTGAAAAGATATTACATCACGTTCGTTCAACAGTGTTGTGTTGCTGGTGCTATTATGGGGTTGTGAGATTATCAAAGTGTCGTATGCGACAATCTCTCGTCGTTCCCTTATTTTAATAACACTACAGGAGAAGTTATTTGTGCATTTATCGAAATGTAAAATTAGAAATTTCCTATTCTGCTTCATAACAGAGCGTGAGTCAAAGTATAATCGAGAGTGTGCGTAGTTTAGCAATATTCTAATGACCCTTTTCTACCTTTGGATTTTGTCATTCATCTCTTCTCTTCACACAGATGAAATCATTTTTCGAAAAAGGATTCCACATTTTCACATTCAATGAATTTATTTATCAGAGCACATCTATTCGAAAATAGTTTAATAATTTGGAAGTAAGTTTCCATGACACTGACCGTGATCAGTCGCTTTCAAAAGGAAACCCAACAAAAGGACGAACGAACTTTGCTTTGTGAAATGCATGAGATTCTTCTCACTTGCCAGTAATCATTTACATGATAACAAAAGCTTTTCAATAATTTCTTTATTCTTCACCAAATTTAGTGAAACTTTTATAACTTGAAATTGATTAAAAATGATTTGAAGTTAATAGGAAGCAACATAAGTTGAAAGAAAGAATTCATTTGAACGGAAAGCGGCACTCCGTGCTATAAAAAGTGAAAAAAAGGGTTGAACAAAACAGTTGAAAAGGAAAAACATTGAGAAGGGAGTTTAATTTTACACACTTTCATTGATGTTTGTCATGAGATTTTATTTTATTAGCTCTTTTGACGTCGACGAACTGTAAATTTGCACAATTTGACTCACACGGACACGCAATTGCCCACTTGGAATTTATGTCTGCTTTCAGCATTTGTTTTGTTGGTTATGCCGTGTTGTTGAGAAACGAAGACACATCGAAGGGTTGTTCGCTATTCAGGAATGCCTCAATTGAATTTTCATGTATTTTAATACTTTTTTTAGGTTTCTTTCATTCTTTATTTCCATAAAACAAAAAGCCATCACAAAGCAGATGAATAGTTTCTGGGCTGTTTTTTATGTTTTATGTAATAATTTCATGGAATTAATGAGTGAGTTCTCGTCTTGTACCGAGGCCGCCGCCTTGTTAATGAGGTCGCTAAAATGAAATTGTATCCCATTAAATTGAAACCGAGAAAACAAAAAAAAATGTGAAGAATTCCAGGAATGTTTTTTTTTTGGTTTTCTATAGCTGACTGCTATAAATTTCGTTCCTTCTCAATGTATTGCTTTGCTGGCTATTCATTTGCTTTGTGGAATATTCATAATTTCTTTTATTTCATAAAAATTGTTGTGCGACGATGACGCTGATGTAATGAATGATCTGAGTTTTGTTTATTATAGCAGCAGTTCTCTTATGCCACCTTGCTTCCTGCCTTTCGTCCACGCCCGCTTTTTTTTTGTGCAAGAATCGAAACGAAATTTATTTCAACAACATTTTGTAACGGTTTCAAAATGTCCCTTCTTTAAATGTTCTTCTCACTCGTTTAAAAGAAAAGATCAATAACATCTATAATTTATTTTCCTTTAATTAACATTAATTTGAGCACTTTCATGATAAAGATCTCTTAAAAGGTGTTAATCTGGAAGCACAAGCATAAGCAAGCGGAAAGTTGATTAAATGTACGGTTGTTGTTTAAGAGAAATTGAGTGATGACGGAAAAACAACGCAATAATTAATTGAGTCGTACTTGATATCTTTAAATGAATTAATTGAGGAGCGGGAAGCCGACTGATGTCTCTTAATTGACTTTTAATTTTTATTGCTTTAAAAAAACTTTCCATTTATATTTTTTTTCCTGAAAATTTCCTTTCATTGATTCAATTTCAGCTCTTTCAAATTCCCGTAACAAGGGAAAAGAATGAAAATATAAAAAATTGAGCTCCCTTGGGTTTTCCATGAACATGCAATAAAGTGCATTGTTTGATTCACTCGTTAACAGTGTTCGAATCGTGGTGCATCCTTTGAAGCCTCGCAGCGCAATGAATCTGAAAAAAAATCTCATACTAAATAGTTCGGAAAAATTTCTTTGATGTCTGTGAACGAATTTTTTTGTTTCGGTGTTCATTTCTCCCTCCCACGAAATAATTTTATCGTCAATGAACAAAAAAAGGGCTCGAGCAGGGAGGAAATAATTTCATGATATTAATTGAAACTCATAATATTTTTAAAACGAATTCAGGCTTCAATGATCCCAGAGATAACCCAACGAGAGTAGACATTTTTATGCCCTTTGATGTTAATGCAATCATAAAAGTCTGCGTAGCGATTAACTTTTAAAATTTTATTCCGACTCTATTCCGTCAAGTCCGAAAAGATTTTCAATGATCTCTTAACACTGGAAAGGCTTTTTATATTTTATTTTATGACTAAATGAAAGTATTTAATGAACAATTGGATCACAACAAAGCTAATAAAAGCGAGAGCGACAATAAATGAGAAACCAAACTAAATACGACTGATGTTCATTTGTGCAAAATAATTTTTTTCTTTTATTTTATGATTCTTGAAGAACTGGAAAATAATTGGAAAGAATAAGATAAAAGCATCAATTCTTGATAATAAAAGAACGAAGAAAAAAAATTGTATTGATTTGTAATCAATTTAAATTCATTGATGCTTCTTTTGGTGTCTCGTCTCGCTTGCCTTCTTTCCTGCTTATTCCATTTTGTCAATGGATGTGTAAAGAAGAGAAGAAAAGTTCAATTGAATTAAGAATTTTGTGGAGAAAAAAAAACGAAATGAAACGAAAATTAATTGAAAATCACTTTTTAATTCATTGCAGACGGCGGACTGGGAGCCGGCACCACAATTTCTTCGCGGTGGCCACCGGTGGGAGCTGGCCCAACTCTTGGGCCAGCCGACACAAATGGATCTGGTGTAGATGCAAAGCATCTTGACGTTGGCGATATGAGTGACGTTAGTGATGTAAGTGTAATTAAATTTCTTACCATTCCCCATTGATTACCATCACCTTAATTAAATTAGGATGAAAAAGATCTGTCATCCGCCGATGCCGAGGGAGTTTGGAGTCCCGACATCGAGCAAAGCTTTCAAGAAGCACTTGCTATTTATCCACCTTGTGGTCGACGAAAAATTATTTTATCTGAAGAAGGAAAGATGTATGGTAAGTAAAAAAAAAGATTTTTGTTCAATTTTTCCACAATAAACGAAAGAATCGTTTTCGTTTAATGAATTTAATCAAAAATCTATTAAATCAGAACATTATTGTGTTCCACCACATTTTCCCATATAAAAGCAAACGGGTTAAATATATTAAATTACTTTCATATTGATAGTGGTTAGTTAAACTTAATTTCAATCGAAAATTAACTGATTGTATCTAAGATGAAAGTTGATGATTGTAAGACAACTGTTTGATTTAAAATGAGTTTTTAATGAAGTAAATTTAATATCAAGACGGTTTTTAATCAATGCTGTTCGTTTATTTTGATGTTTTTGAACCTTCGCTAATCCCATGGCTTTTTAATGCTTAACTTAATTAAACATACGAATTTAACTTCATTGCATCCCTGTTTTCATCACACAATAATGCTCAATCTCATAGCTCAATGTGTGATATTTATTTATAGCTTCGATAAAAGGTTGCAATGGGACCATATAGAAGAAAAGGTTAATTAAATTTAATTGAACTCGTTTGTTTAGAAACCTACACTCAATTCACATGGTGATCATGTTAAGCTCTTTATGAGGTTTATTAGTATTAAATAAAAATAAATTTAGGAGGTGAAGTGGAAACTAGAAATTGTTTCAATTTGCATTGTTGGTAAAATGAAAATTTAATTTTACTGGGAAATTCTTGTCAAAGCTTTGAAAATATTTCTTGAAGCCTCTCACGTCAAGTTTCGACAAACTACAAAAGTTATTTGATGAATTTCATTCAAGATCGATTCTTTGAATAATTTGCAAAGAGATCTGAAATTCAAATATTTACAATCTTAAATTCGTCTTCATTTCTACGTCAATGCAAATTTACATAGTTTTATGTGTTTTAGAAATTACATTGTAAATGATATTAACGTCTATCTACGTATTAATTGAATTAGTTGGAATTGAACGCTTTAATTTGTAGAAGAATATAAAATCAGACGTTTAACTTCCGAAAATGATTAAATTGTCAAATGAGTGTCACTAATTACAAACATGGCTTGTGCGACGTAATAATAGAATCAAATAAGAATTCAAGTCTAAACAGAAACCAAACACATTGAAGACAAGAACTTTGAAACTCTGTTACTTCTGAATATATTATTAAAAAAAACGAATAACAATGCAAGCAACAGAAAGATGCTTCAGGAAGTTCGCGGTTATTATCTACCCGCATACACGAGTTCAAAGCAAAGCACAAATCAGAAGACCAACTTTTATGTTGATGTCATTCCTAGTTTTAAATTTATAATTCTCTTGTTTTTTTTAAACAAAACGATGAAGAATAATGAAATAAACAATTTACAAAACAAAATTAATAACATAAAAAATTATCTCGAGGTAGTTTTTGGAAAAATTGTAACAACTGCGCGGAATTTATGACAAATTTTTATCCTGTAAATATTTTTCCCAGTTTGTTGATTTTTCATGTTTATTTTTTTGAATGAGAAAAATTTTATTCATCATAAGATTTTTTCTCATTTTGACATGAAATTGAAACTCGTTGGAGGTTTTTTTTTTCGCTTCCTCTTTGTTTAAGTGCAGCAAGAGTCTCTTGTGTGCATTAAACTTTACGGAAGGAATGTGGAGTGAGCGTGGAAATAAATTAAAAAATTGTGGAATTTAAGTGAAAATTTATTTTCTTCAAAGTTTCCTCGAAAGTTTTCATTCCTTTCAATGCAATTCGTAAAGGAACGACGATGAGGTTGAAGAAGTAAAGTTGTAGTAAACTCAATAAGTCGACTTTTTAATTAATTTTCCTTCGTTCTTTTGAAAGTATTCTCAACAACCCGGTAAACAACACACATACACAATGCTTTGAAATAAAGAAAGCTCTATTCAATGCAATAAAATTTATTATCAACTCGATAGCAATTGCAATTAAAACAGAAGTTTCTTCACACAATAGCAATTTTTTTGCTTGCTGAAAGGATTTTGATTCATTCAAGATATTTGCATACGATTAAATCGCTAACTGTTCATGCTTTACGGAGGTAAAAGTAAACTTGAAAACGAAGAGTCCCGATATTGCTTTTTCTAAATTAACATAAGCGTTTGCGTTTTAGTTTTCCTGTTTTAATTCTTTTTTCATACTTAAAGTCTCATGTGGTTAGTTCATATATTCTCGTTTGATTTCATGACGCATTTAAAACGTTGCGGAAACGTGAAGAAATATTTTATAAAAAGTAATTTCATTTAACGTTTTAATTGCAGTTAAAATGCAATCAAATGTCTTGCCTTTTTCAGACTTGTTGGATAGAATTATTTAAATCTTTTCCATTTGAATGTGCACATGTAAGTTTGACTGATAGTTATGATTGTTTTTGAATACATTTTCATGTAAATTGAGTTCATTAAATTAATGTTTTTCTAAGCAATTGTCCATTTTAGGTCACGCTATTAAATCGGACAAATAAAAATTCGTGACCTACACGACGTGATTCATCGAGTGCAATTATTGTTATTATTTCGATTACATTTGAAGTGTTTCTGTTAAGTTATTAAGTATCTGTCATAATTTTCAAGAACATCATAAACACAAGTCGCAACATAAAACACGAAAAGTCAAGAAATAAAAAGATGAAAAGATTTTTTTTTCTACAACTTTTCATTTGCTTTGGAGCTCGTGTTCATCCAAGGTGAAAATTTTCATCGATGCCTTTTTACCTTACGAAATAATTTCAAAGAGAAAATTTGAATTTTCATCAAAAGAATTTTTCCAGTATTTTAAGTTTAATTAAAAACTCGTAGACTGAGAGTTTTCGCTACAGTTTTACGAGTTATGCTACATTGAAATTTGATTTGATGTTTTTTATATTTTTTCGACTTTTCAAGCTTTTACAACTAGTCTTGATGGAGACGAAGCTCCTTGGCAATAGTCACATTAGTTAACTTAATTATAAATACTCAAGTTTTGGTCATTAAAAAACATTCTTAAACGAGTTTTGATGTCATTATAAGAAATCAACTGGTTTTTTCCTAATTTATCTTATCATTAAGTGTTTCTTATCAAACATTTGTAATCATTCTTCAACGTCATCTCTAAAAATGTACTTTACTTAACAAAATTACTGTATTCTTGTTTTCAATTGTTCAGCTGCTAATTCTATATTAATGATGATGAGTTATAAGTTTTAAGTTCAAAGTAAACACAACTAACTTGTGACTTTGTTTCACTCATGAAGCGAAGTTCTTTATTGAAGTAAATTATTTCAACATGTTTAATTCGTTTCTTTTTTTTGACGTCATAAGTCACACGGTTTCACCTTTGAAACATGCAATAAATTCGACTATCTATTATGTCATTTGAAAAACGACACTTGAAGCAACAGTCGTCAATTTTATAGTTAAACATACCATAGAAATATGTGATTCACCTCTCGGAAGCAAATAAAAAGTATTAAAGGAATTCGTAGAATTTAAAAGGATGTCTAAGTATTTGTGGCAGAAAGAGAACATTATGTGGCTTTTCGGTTGAAACACAGCCACAAATATTGCGTGAAAAATGTTCTCTCGAATTAAAATTTCTACAATAAGCAGATAGAGGCTTGAATGTATGAAGTAGAACTTAATATTCTGATGATGCTTCGACAGATTTTGGAAAATTAGAATATTTAGTGAAAGAAAGGAAGCCTCAAAGTGTTTTCATATTCACCCACAATGTCTTCAAAGTTACACAATTATGACGAAAGATTTATTGCATTCCTGACTTTCAACTCCTCAAATCTAGTATGTTAACAGTAATAATGAAAGATATTAAACAATTGCCACCATGTCTACGAACGTAAAAGAGTTACGAAAATTATACGAAAATGTTTTCAACTTTAGTTTCCGAGAAAACAAACTTTGCACGAGTAAATAAGATTGAGAATAAAGTTTATCATTCTTTTTAATAATAAAACATTCTTAATAACAAAAGATTCTCCCTCAGAGCAAATTTGCCTTTTTGTAAAACTTCAAAAACAATAATTTTGAATATAAACGAAAATTCTCGGAAAACTTAAAGGAAGAAAACTTTGTTAATAAAGTTCAAAATGTTCATGAAAACTACATCAAAGAAAGCACAAGGATCACAGCATTCATCAAAACAGTGGCTTCGAGCACTTTATGAACCTGAAATTATATTCACATGACTCAAAAGGAATATTTCCCATCTGTTACGAACAGACAAAAAGCAACTCATGCATGAATTCATTACGAAGTCAAAAATGGTTATATGGAACCGTTTTTATAGTATTTATGTATCAACTAAATGTATTTTCTGCTGCTGTCCATTTGTGATTAATGACATCCGAGAAAGTAAAACATGAAGTAGATATCTATTTAAAAGGAAAAGAAGAATAAAATGAATCATGGGTATTTAGATGTGAACCAACGAATTAATTATCTACGTAGCAGTTTATTATATACAGAAGACGAAGTAGTTTAAGAAACTAATGGCAAGTCGTTTATATGTAGATAAAAAAAATTTAACTTAAATTCGAAGAATCGCAAGAACAAAACAAATGTTTGGTTTAATGTTCGTTTGGTTTTAAGATTGTATAAATTTGAGTTTCAATATCACACTCAGTTGAAAGCTAATGAACAGTCATAGCGGTAAATCAACGCGCTTACTCACAGTCACATGTAAATAGATGTGCTTGTGAAAGACGATTTCAGAAAGTTTATTTTAAAAAAAATCCTCCTCACAAGCTTCGAGCGGCTTAAATTTATGCAAAACTGTCGGAATATATATTTGTGGTCACAAAGTCATTTTACGATTCACAACTACGATGAAGAGAAACTTAAGATGAGTGTGGACTTAATTATAAATCTTTTATTTGGTGATTGTCTGTTGGTTGATGTTGTCGAATTTTATTACAACGACCTCGGCAAACGACACAAACCAAACGGCGTCAAAATTTCGGGATGAAAAGATAAAAAAAATTAATCGGATGATTCAACATGCTAAATAAAAGAAATAGGAAGAAGAAAAGGGACAAAACGTTTTTAATATCATGATGTTTTCAACATTTTTTATTCGCTATGTCGAAAAGTTTATTAAAATTTTGTGCCTTCTTCTCCACTCTACATTGTACACATAATACGAATAAAAACATACGAAAAGCAAGAACGGAATAAAAAAAAAGAAATGAGAAGAGAGAAAAGTTGTAAAATGTCGTGATGAAAAGTAAAATTCTGCAATGGACCAAGATAGGATTAAATTTCATAGTCTATCGTCTCTCCCCTTTGCCCATTTTCAACCATCGCTTTTCATGTCTTTTACCCGAAAAAAATTTGAATACGAACAAATTTTCCCACTCATTTCTCCGAAGAGTTGCTCTTAAAATGTATATATTCACAAACAATAAAACAGGAGCATTATCATTCTAAAATTTCCCTTTTTCTCTCTCAACACTGAAGTCTCTGGTAGAAGCAGGGCTTGTGTCGAGTTGATGGACAATATTGAGCTCCGTTTTGTTGTTGTAGCTTTAGGAAAGCCAAACCCGTTGAAAGAGCTTGAAAGACAATTTTTCTTCTTATTACTGTTATTATTATTATTATTATTTTATTATTTCGTTTTTTTTTGTTTTTTGGGAGAAGAAGATATATTGAGCTGGGAAAATGGAAAACAATAAATTCATTGTCAGTGTTTGGAAGTAAATGTTGTAGAAGGAGGAAGGGAGAGGGTAAAAGAAAAAGAGAATAGGAAGTAAGATGGGGTTGAAAGGTGGAAGGTGGAAAGGAAAGCAATAGTCGATATTCACACCATATCCGATGAAGGAAGGAACTATTTTGCGTCGGCTGCTAATGCTTTATTCAAAAGCAATATTTCTTGAGCCCGAGAGTTTGTCTTCTTGAAGCATAACTTTGCCTTTAAATAAGAAAAGTAAGGGAAGAAAAAAAGCATTAGCAATAACAATGATAGCGATGAAATAATGGAATTGAGCGACGAAGAGCTTTACATCGGGGTTGTCATCGTATCCTTGCTTTTCTCAACTCTACACTTCTTCTATGTATAAATAGTTAGAGAATGGGGTTGTTGTATATTCATCCTTTGTTTTATTTATCCATTCGTTCTTCGTTCACTTCTGTTCAGAAGAGTTGGAGGGTTTAGAGAAGGCGAACTCGTGAGAGAAAAGAGGGGGAGGATGATGAAAAATCTACAAAACTATGCCAAGAATGTGCAATTAGTGAAACGTAATATTATTTTATGTGTTGCTAGCTTTTATATAGCTTCTTTCCCGTTGAATTGAGACAATGGAGAGCGGGGAAGAGAGATGGCGAGATGTAGAGGGTTCGTTCGTGTGCTTGTTCTTTCATTCGATGAAAAGCTAAAGATACGAACAACGATGAACGCTTTTCAGGACGATGGAAAGCGAAAACGAGCGAGAAGCGATGAGTATAATGAAATATATTTTATTAAAATGACGACAAGAGAAGAACTTTGAAGATTGAAAATAAAAGGCGAAAGGAGGGTGAAAAAAATTAGAAAAAATAATATTAAAAGGGTTGCCATAAAGCTCCACTCTACTCAGCTGATTTTTTCTTTCTTCTCTCTAAAGAGAAAGGCTTCGGAATGTAGACAATTTCGAAAATTTTCTTTCCACATCGCTCCCCGTCGCAGACGCTTCTCGAAAATAGCAATGCTCTAGGAAAAATATCTGAATGTTTCCTCGCACTGCCGAGATTTATCGGACAACACTGCAAGGAATTTTCATCTTTGGCGACAACGAGAAATTATGATCTGCCTCGCTTTACAAAAGCTATGAAATTTTGAAGACAAAAAGCTTGTTCTTTCACTTTGTCTAAGCCATTGTTGGTTTCATAAAACACCATCGAAGAGTAAAAATGAAAGAAAAAAAAAATTCGACACTTGAATGCAAAACTTTTTTTTTTTGTCAAATTGAATTTCTTCGAGTTAAAATATCCGCCGGATGCTTTTCGATCTCATCACATTTAATTTGATTTGAAAATCTTCAGCATTTAACACTATCCAGAGTTTGGTTGTCCATGAAAATTGTGTGTCGCAAATTGAACCCAACATTCTTGAGCAATTTTCCGCATGTTCGAACCTTTGGAGAAAAAGAAAATTTTTCTTTTCTCCTTCATCTGGAAAATTTAGACATCAAATGAAAAGTTTGTTTCCTACGTTCCTAAAGCTTCTGAGAAAAAACAAGGAAATTGATAAAGTTTCTTGTTCCTCTTCACAATTTTCTTGTTGTTACACTTTGAACTTCATATCCTCTTCAGCAACATCCTTTTTATTCTTCCCTTCTCTTATTTTTCTTTTTCAAACGATGTCAAAATGAAGAAAAGAAGGCTACGAAAACTTAACTTTATTTTCCTGATTGTTTTTCTTTTTGGAGTTTAGCTTTGTGTTGTTTTAAAGGAAATCTAATTAAAAATTACGAGAGACAGTGGAAGAAGAGAAAAATTTATTTCTTTTACATTGTTGTTCATTTTATTCGTCCGGCGTCCTTAAAACAACTAGCGTAACATTTCTGACGTCGTCGGTCGAGCAAAAAGCTCAATAGAAATGAATTGTGCAATTTCAATTAATAAGCATTGGGCTGAAGGCATAACAAAATAAAGAAAGAAAAAGAAAACGAGAAATTAGTTCAAAAGATTCAAACATGATGATGGAGATCAAACGATAATGTTTTCAAGGTTTTTTATTCTGTTTTCTACGACGATAAAGATTCCTTCTCGTTTTTGATGTTTGATGTTTCATTCGCTCTCTTTTTCATTCTACTTGAGATGAGATATTTTAAGCCTTAAAGAATTTGTCTTAAAGCGGAAACTTAATATTTGTCAAAAGTTTTTTTTCTTCTTTGCCGATGTCAAAGTCGCAAGATGAGTAGAAGGTAGAAGAAAGGCTCAAATTAAATTACCTCCTTAAAGACATGGAGAAGAATTTCTCTCATTCCCTGATGCTTACTTTCAAAACATTCTTGGAAAATCCCAATCGCCATTTTCACCCTTTTTTGAATATTTTTTTTCGCAAGTTAAAACCATTTGAGAAAAGTTTTTCTTTATTCAAGTCTCGAGCCTTGTAACGTAATTAATTTTAATAATCTAGCAATTTTTCAACTCCTGACATTAAAGATGGCAACTGATGGTAAATCGTGGGGGTTGAGTTGATGATAACAATTTTAGTGAGTCTGATGTTGTGGATGAAAGCTTTTAATGAAAGTTTTGATAAAAGTTGCAAGAAATGATTCATATTTAATATGTAAGTTGACGGACTTATGCAACATTTAAATAATGACGATGACAAATTCTCGTGACAGTCGTATGATGATTCCCATTATTTAAGTGTGACTTTGATATAAAACAAGAATTATTGAAATACTTTCCACATGATATAATTCGAATTTTCACAGCCCAAATGTCGGTCTCATTATAATGGCAAGAAAATTATGGCGTTAAGCTCTCAACAGTCTGAAGCAGACCTATTTTGTATGTTAGCAGACCAACAAACATCTATGCGAAGAAATAAATCAAGAGAAATAACGCTTTCTATTCAAGAATAAAACGAAACGAAACATTCATGAAAACCCCTTGAGGGTAGAAAAAGCAAGCACAACTTGAACAGGATGAAAAGAGAAGATTTATTTGCAACAAAGAGAAGCGATGAGAGGCAGCTTGTAATATCCTTTTCCTAATATTGATTATTCCTCCCCTTTTGGGTGGAGGTCAAACGTCTATGTCATCACTTAAATTAAAGAAAGCAACTTTCACATGAGATACTTATGCTTCCTCAAATACAAGTCAAAGATATATGGATATAATATACATACAATGCCATTGCCAATAGCAATGTTTATCTCAAGAAGCAAAACGGAGGAACAAAAGAAAAAAGAAAGATGTTGGCATGACATTCAAGTTTTAGAAAATTTCCCTTGCCTTTGACTTGCGATATATGTTTAATATTTACATGAAAATTTTAATAACAATTCAGATCCTTTTTATCATCTCTTGACAATTTGCTTTCTTAAAACAGCAAAACACGAAAAAGATGAAAACTGAAAACCACAATGAAGAAGCGGAAATGAAAAGAGCGGAGTACAATAAAGTGGAGAGACAAAATACATGATTTATGGTTGAGTGTCATTGGCGGAGGAGAAAAATGCTGCAATAAATCTTCTTTTATGAAACTTATCTCAATCGTTTTATGCCGTTTTTTCGTACAACGCCAATGGTGGTTTTAAGCGTGGTTCAACCATAAGGGAATGAGTTTGAACTCTCGTTGCCTTTAAGGATAATCCACGAGACGACTTTTCTTATATCTTTTTCAATTTTCTCTCAACGATACTTGAAGGAGGAAAGAAGGAAAATAAAAGTGGAAATACAAGAGCTTCTTAAAAGTAAACGAGACAAGATCAGAAGAAGAAAAACTCTGCTGAATAAATTGGATATCAAATTTTACTTTTATCCTTGTTTACACATTTCTTGATGATTTTGTAACTTATTGAGGTTTGGGAATGATAATTACCCGGGTTATGCTTGTATAAATAAATAGACGAAGGGAATATGTATGCTTAAGAATCGCCTTGCGCAAAACAATCTTGTTGTAGATAAAGATAAACATAATGATGTTGCAAGTTTCTTTTTCATTTCATTTCATTAAGTCATTAAGTATATAAACAACTCGTCTTATGTTACATGTCTTTCAATGTTGTCACAAGCTTTGTTTCGAGCGGTTTATTGTTTTATGTTGTGCTTACATTTAATCTTTTAATCGCTCATCTTTGATAGACAAGAAGACGGATACATGGATGAATGAAAATTGTTGTCATGAATTTTATATAAATTTCTAACAATGCTCTTGCCAGACATCAAAGAGTCAGCTTTGAAATCTTTTAAATTGATACACACATTTTGGACTTACAAATGAGACTTCTTTCTCGTCTTTCTTCAATTAAACACAAATTAAAAATAATAACATTTGAAGAAAAGGAAGGCGACGACCATAAAAAGAGGTTAATTTCATTTTCTTCAAGTGGGTGTTTAATGGAGGGAAGAGAGCTGCAAATTATCATAAGATATTTCACTCTCCTTCCACTCTCTTCATTTTTTTTAATTAATACAACAAAAGGATTTTATCCTTAATTTTCTTCCAACATTTTCACCCTCTTTGGGCATGAAAAGCGCTGTTATTCTGTTGATGCTGATGGTAGTTTAATTAAAAATAAAAGACTAAAGGATATGCTTGAAGTCAAGATTAAAAAATATAGATAATGAACATCAAAATGAATTATTAAATAGTTTTCATCATAACAGGTTGCTTCTTTTATCTTTCATTTTATAAACCAATTCGTAATCGCCGTCAATTAATTTTCAACTTGAATGAAAACAAAAAAACGTCAATCGAAAATGTGTCGAATCGATGTCGTTTCATTAATGAATTACATGACTCTTCAACAGCCCGATCGTCAGCTGCACCTTATCTTTATTTAACATGAATGGTTTGTGGCAGTTAAAGCCTGTTTTAAGAATAACTGTAGAAAAGTTTCATTTTAAATCTTCGTTTATTTATATTGATACACAACTTCGACAACAAACACACGATGAAGAAATATTTATAAAATAAAAGTCGTCAATGATAAGCGTCAATCGCCCTACCTTTCATTATTCTACGATGATTCTGTTATGATATGAGTGTAAATATATATTCAAGCTGGCTTGGCTTTCTCGTTATAGCAACTTTAACTTCATACTATCATAATGTCGACTGCAACGACATAAACACAGACGTCATCAACGAGTTTTTTTTCTATTTTAAAACTATTCGAAGAATTTCAAATATGCGAAAGACTTTACATACATAGCAGTTCTTTTTCCGTTTACCGTACTCTTCCTCTTGCTGTTCACCCTCAATGGATACTTCCACATAACCCTCCTAACTTCTTTATCGAGGGATATAAAATATAAATCGGTATATATGTGTATACATTTATGAAGACTTGTAGGTTCATTCCGTGTAATTTTATATTTCTTTCATCAGCTGTTCAAAATAAATGTTGGGCATTTTGTTTTGAACTTCGTTCGTTCGTTCGTAAAGCGAGACATTCATGCAGGGATTACTTATTGAATTATGTGGAAATGAATCGAATTTTATTTGTTTTTGATTGAAAATGCTTGTATTTAATGGTTGTGTGGTGTAATCGTGACTTTATATTGCTATTTTCTTACTCTTAATTTTTAAATAATTTTTATTTGTCTTGTTTTAAAGTGTCTGATTTGACATTGAATGCTTTGATTACTTAAATTTATTATTGTTGTATACAAAATACTAAAATTTGTCTTGACATAAATAACCAGGTAAGAAAAATGGAAATATCTTATCTCAAAAAATAAATGATGAAACTTTAAACTAAGTACACATGTATAGAAGAAGACAAAGCGACAGCGACATTAAGTTGAATAAAAGATTGCGTCAGTTGAAATAACACAAGAAAATTCATTTCCTTTAGACATTATCATCATATGATAAGAAATGACATTATCCGTAACGTTGAAGACTTTCATTTCTTTTTTCTTACTAGATACAAACAGCAAATGATTGATTTAGACTTTGCGAATTCATTCACAATAAGATTCGCATCAATCAATTTTCTTCTTCTAAAAATAGATGATTATTTACTGAAAGAACTTGATAAATCATTTTCTAATAACCTTGAATGAATTCCCTTGATTCTAAAGCAGATTTTATGAAATTATTTTAAATTTGAAGACATTACTAATGCAATCTTTCTTCTTTATTTCAGGACGAAATGAATTAATTGCTCGCTACATCAAACTTCGAACCGGCAAGACGAGAACAAGAAAGCAAGTCAGTTCACATATACAAGTATTAGCTAGAAGAAAATTACGAGAATTTCAAGCTAAAATGAAGGTGGTAAGTGTCGTGATCCAAAGCTAAGATAAGTTACAAAATTCTGACCGAAACCGGCATTTATAAAACTTCTCTTCACATTTTTAAATCAACATTCGTAAATTTCTCGGTGATTCTTTATGTAATAAATAATGACTCATATTTATTTATTTCCAACATCCAATTTACTTATATCCTCGTTAAATTTTATCGCGTTCTTTTAGATTAAAATTAAATGAATTAAAATTAAATGTTTGTCGGAGTGAACAGCCCACACATTGCTTTCAACAACATACGCGATTGTTTGCAGCATAATTGCGCAACAACACTTCACAAGCTTCACTCAATTAATGGGAGTGTAACATGATCATGTCAAACGCTAATTAATCATTAAAAAGAGTCAGAGAGATTTTTTTTTATAGAATGTTGTTGCTGTTTTTCTTTATCCTTTCTTAAGCATTTAATAATGTAAGAAAATTCGATTTAAGAATCAATTGATCCGAGTGAAGTTAAAAAAATAAATAAATTTACATTTAGGATCATTCGCTTGGAAAAGAAAAAGCTTTCCAAACTATGAGCTCGATGACATCAGCCCAATTAATATCAGTAGCTGCAAAGGGATTAACCTTGGGCAACTGCACACCATGTATTCAGTCTTACACTGTAAGCACCAAGACTATTAATTTTGATGATGAATATTTTTCTGTTCAACATTAACATTGCTTTCTATAGCTTCATCATCGTGATGACTAATCATAACAAAAATTTGAAGAATCAAAACTCATAAACAAACTAGTAAACAAGCATTAAAAGAGCTCAACCTCATGCCTTATATCTTTCATATTATGTATTTACATTACATGATGCCTTGTCGTCGTGTTGAGTGCCAGTCACTTGCTTCTTTTTTTAGTCGTTGTCTCGCCATATGAATTCTATCTTCAATGACTTTAAATGCTTCGTTTCAATGGATTAATCATTGCTAAAACATTTTTTTTCTTACAATTCGCATCAATGACTAATAAGTTTTGGTCGCTGACACATAAGTTCATAGACCTAATTGCAGAGATTGTTTCTTCAATCCAAACTAAGATTCAACTACGATTAGTTCTAGTTTAAATCATATAATTATGCATTTAATTGATGTCAATCATTCTAAATCATTTTTGTTTGCTTTCTTTGTGAGTTTCAGAAAGAAAGAGAAAAAAACATTGAAGCAAGTTACTTACTTTTGTTATTAACAGACAGGAAGCAAAGTCAGGAAAGAGAATTGATAAAAATCAAATATTCAGTCTGAAGGTCTCATCATTCATAAAATTTAGGCGCCGTTTGTAAAGTGCTGAACATAAAAAATTCATACATAAACACAATCAGTTGTAATCAGATAAAATTGACTTACCTGCCTACTTTGTAACAACCTAATTAGACCTGACATATCCTTTTCAACTTCTTCAACATGGATTAACGTTTAATGGTCAATAAAGTTTTTATGTTTTCTCCGAAACATGAAAATTATTTTAAATTTTCACTCAAATTTATTATTCACCAGTACTTAATTGAAGTAGATCACTATAAATCGTTGAAAATTTAAACAAAATTTGATGAATGATCATGAAATTAATTATGATTTTCTACAACAATTGCAGCATTCGACAAATTATCTTTCAATTCATCCTTTGATTCTCTATTCAAATCAATCCAATAAATCACAAGTTTTATTCAAATAACCCCCACAATTTCCAACTCATCTCATGCTCTCTTTTGACCACAATAATTCAAAATTTAATTAAGGCATTGTCTAATGGTTGATAGATATTTGCTTTCATTGGATTGAAAGCAACTCTAAATTAATTTATTTAAAATAGAGAATTCAATTTAAAACACCTCATACAGTCTTGTAATTTAAATTTAATTGTGAAAATTGTTATTTGCTTTTTAAATGTAAGCTTGAAAACATCATCGATAAGGACTAAAAGAATTTTTTATGCAATCTATGCAGAATGAACAATTGCCTAATATTGATAATTAAAAGCTTTCCAAGAGTTCCTAAAAACTTAGTTGTGATCATTGTCAATGAAATATTTTTAATCAAATTCTATTTTCTTTCTTTTTTCAGCAATTTTGGCAGCCCGGTCTTCAACCTAGCACTTCACAAGATGTCAAGCCATTTGCACAGCCTGGATATCCAACAGGAGGCAAAACAGCAACAGCTGTATCAGCTATTGATGGTAATCTTCAAACTCAACATCCATGGGAAGGAAGATCAATAGCGACACAAAAGTTTAGACTTGTAGAATTTTCAGCATATCTTGATCTGAGCTCTGATGATGCTGTTGGTGATGTGAGTTGTTCATAATCTGAAATCATTTTTCATTTCTCATAAATCTTCTTTTGTTCACAGTATCACAAGCATCTCTTTGTACATATAGCAGAACAGCCATCCCATCCTCTTCTGGAATCAGTCGATGTAAAAGAAATTTACGATAAATTCCCTCAAAAGAGCGGTGGTCTCAAAGAGCTATATGAAAAAGGCCCTCAAAATACTTTCTTCCTGGTGAAGTTCTGGGCCGATCTCAATACCAACCTTCAAAACGATGCTGGAGCTTTTTATGGTGTCAGTAGTCAGTAAGTATTGAATCATTAATGTCATTAGCAATTTTTAATTAAATTTTCACTCAACAGTTTCGAAAGTAACGAAAGCATGGTCATCACCTGCTCGACAAAAGTTTGTTCTTTTGGAAAGCAAGTAGTTGAAAAAGTTGAGACGGAATATTCACGGTTGGAAAATGGACGCTTTGTGTATCGGATTCATAGATCGCCTATGTGTGATTACATGATAAACTTTATCAACAAACTCAAAGGGCTGCCGGAAAAATATATGATGAACAGTGTTCTCGAGAACTTTACCATTCTACAGGTATTAATTGAAATATTAATTGAATTATCAGCTTAACATCGATAACTTTGAAATGTTTTCTTCCAGGTAATATCAAATAAAGAGACACAAGAGACACTGTTATGCATTGCTTTTGTGTTTGAAGTGTCAACATCGGAACATGGTGCACAGCATCACATTTATCGTTTGGTAAAAGATTAGCAAAACGAATTTGTTATCAGCGACGCACCATCAGCCGACAATCAATTGAATCATCAATTGATTGACACAAACACAATTGTTAAAAGTAGCTTAAGTGTATCATCGACAGATAATAGTGATTTAAGTGGTAGTTTTAATGCGAAAAACAACAATAATAATAATGATGATGAGAGTACTATTTGTAGATTTACATCTGTAAACGTTAATGATAATTATAATTTTATTTGTCCATCGGTTCCAACCACCGTCGATCAGTCGAAGTTTATCAAAAAGGAAACCCATGATGATTGAAACTTTTAATAATTTAACTAAATATTTTTTTTATATATTTTCCTTTTTCTATCTTATCAACTGGCATGGAAGAAAATACAAAAGAAAACTTTGTAAAACATTTTCGATTATGATAATAAGAGATTTAAAAACATAAACAAATAAATAAATAAATAAATAAAATCAAGCAGTGCCTAAGAAAGAAGTCAAACAAAGAAAAGGAAAATTAAGAGAAGAAATTCGTACGAATGAAAAATGCCATGAGATAAAGTTCAATTTTCTTTCGGGGTGCAATAAATTAATAAAATCGGCAATTTATAATTTTTTTTATTCTCGTTGCAATAAACAAACCGATCAGAATTGTTTTTTAAAACAAAAGTGAAGTTCAAATATATGCACAAACTTTTTCTCTTTTTCCTTTTAATTATCAAAATCGTCCATTAATCGGTAGATATGCAATAATTTAATTCTCATTTATTCAAGTCCGTGTCTATCTTTCGTCCTTTCTTTTAATAAATAAAATACCTGAATAATTATTTTAATGCATCATCGAGTATCTGAAAGAGCAGAAGAAAATGAAATTAATTTAAACGAGTTCCAACTTACTTGATAAATAAAATGATGTACATCATGTAAATTTTTAATTAACGTTAAGACAGCTTAACAACATGATTTGCTTTCTATTTCGCTATGTTCCTCTGTGCTGAGTTTTTCTTTTAATTTTTATTTAGTCGCTTTTTGAAATCATGCCAATTAATGAGATTATATTTTGTAACTTCTCATGAATCGCTCATCGCTTCATACTTACTTAACCGGCAGATCCTTTTAATTTAAAAATGTATGAAATTAGAAATTTTTTTTCACTTTTGGGGACCAATCATAAAAGAAAAACTAATCGTTCTTGATTAGTGCCGGCAGTCTAGCAAAATCATAATTTTATTTATAAATTATCTATCAATGTATGTACGAATGAATTTCAACAATTTTTTGTTTTCTCTCTTGATTTTACAGAAAAAATATATTCATTTTGATCTCTTAATTAGTCAAATATTAATTGTAATTCAAAAAGAAGATGAAGAATATAAAAAATAGACAAAGAAAGCAAAACGATGTTGCAAATTCGAGTTATATGAAGAATAAAAAAAAATATAAAGAAAAATCAAACAATAAGAAAATTGGCAAAATTCACCAAATTTATAAAAGTGAAAAAGAATAATTCGAGTACCTATAAAAAATAATTAAAGATTGTATGTATGATAACGTATAACTTTAGAAACAAAAAGAAACACGCATCTAATAAGAAATTTAGTTGTTTTATCAAAAGGAAACATTTTACTCTGAACTCTGAGGAATATTAAAAGAAAACATAAAATGATATTACGATTGATAATGAAAGTGGAAAAAGTATTTTCCATCGTGACATGGAAACTCTCATCTCAAAATTTGTCATATCCTTCGTCATCTAAAATCCATCCAGCTGAAGATTCATTGAAACTGAAAGATTTTTCAAAAAAAAACAGAAAAACGAAAAAAAAACATACAAAACAGAGGAAATCTTAATAATGATTTTATTAATTTTGTTTTAATTAAACTTATGTCATAAAAATGGATTAAAATCAACACAAGTCGTCCATTCAAATTATTTTGTATATACTGAAAAGATTTTTTTTTATAATCGATTGTAGGAAAATCTTCTATCATTTTGAGCAATTTAGTGATAAGATGAGAAAAAGAAAGAGAGATATATGAATGGAGAATAATAACTTACAATTTATTTGATAAAGAAAAGAAAAGAAATGTACTTGGATTTTGTTTTCCAACAATTCATCATCCAACCATCCCCAACAACTCTCATGCGACTAAATATTTAAGTAAATAAGATGAAAAATTGTGGGCCGCTGTTTAATTTTTTTCTAAGAAAATTCCTTCTCCATTCTATCCCAAGAAATTTTTATTTGAGTTTAAATAAATTATGTGAGAAATAATAAATCAAATGAAAAATTTCTAAATAAAGATGAAAATATCAAAATAGGAAATTGTTGATTAATTTCTTGTTTCAGAGATTTTTGGTTCTTCGACACAAGAAAATGTAACCAAATAAATGAAATAAAATGTAAAGCAGAAACATTGCGATGAGGTTCAAGTATAAATGATCTGATGAGAAACTGTAACGCTGTAAAACTTCATCTCCACTTTGATAGCATGGCAGTTCTGTTGCCGCTAAGCTTGTACAATCTGAAATGACAAATATTCAGTTTAAGATCTGAAATGTTTTGAGTTTTGATTCAACAAGGTCTTCAAATTACTTCATTACAACAGACAATTGCTGACCAAATAATCTCATAAATCTCTTAAAGAACTCTTTGGCTATTAGCAGTTGCTTGATAATATTAAACTTACTAATGTTTGTGACTCCATCCCATTGCGCAATATTCATCGCTTCATTTCCATACATAATCCAACTAAAGTACGGTATCCAACTCAGATAATCAGGAAGTGTACTTATTTTTATGAAAACACCAGATGTTATCATTAAAATATAATCAAATGGCACGAGATATGCCATTGCTAATGGCACTGAATTAAAAGCTGCTGAAAAAAAGCATCCACACGCAGTTGAAACGTTCATTACAAGAATTGATGATATTGCAGTGATTATGAAAGCGAACAATGTTGGTCTCAATTGAACAATCCAATAAGCGATAATTACAAACAACAAAGGTTCCAATATCAATCCCGGAAGCTATAAAAACATTCAACATGTTGATAAAAATTAGTAAACAAAGTTTTCCTTCTTCTCACCATTGCGACAATATTTGCCAAATAAAATTGATCAGTTGTGTAAATTCCAGATTTAATTTCTCGTAGAAAGATTGGAAACGTCTGTGGAAATATTGAAAGAACTGAATACATTGGAGTGAAAGTATTTTCAGCAACAAAAATGAAAAGAACTCCGCCGACAGCTTGAACACCCGCTTGAGTCATATTAATCGTTCCAGTGTAGCAAAGACCAGCTGTTAATGCGATTGCCATTTTCTGCAATATTCTCAGGAATTGAACGGTTGGATCACGAACAACTGTCAAAAGCGATCGCCAAGTAAGCCAATAAAAGACGGTGAACCAATTTGGTTGTTTAAATCCCTTCATTTCATCTTGAACTCGGTAAGTTCCACTCTCATACATGTGCATCTCAAGATTCACCAATAAATCTCGTTGTTGTGAAGCTTCACTAACAGCGAAAAAATCACAAATTCGACTTGATATTCTTTGACTCGCTCTTTCATTTGTTCCAATTTCCGTTGAAAGAACGCTGATTAAATATTCTGCTGGATTATAATTAACTGGACATTTGTATCCTTGTTCAGCAAAGAATTCAATAGCATCGTCTGGATCACCAAAGAAAGCTATTCGTCCTTCAGCAAGAAACAAAACTTGATCAAACATCGCGAAAAGCTCACTTGAAGGTTGATGAATCGTACATAAAATCGCAGTGTTTCTCTTCAATGCCAATTCTCGCAATGTTTCGACAAGAATTTGAGCGTTGTACGAATCTAAAATTGTTTTTGAATATTTAATTGATAACACTAACGGGTTAAAGCTTATCACCTAATCCAGTTGTCGGTTCGTCACAAAATAAAATCGCTGGTTGTGTCAAAAGTTCAGTGGCAAAAGCTAAACGTTTCTTTTCGCCACCAGATAAAACTTTACCTTCCCCATCTTCACCAATCCTTGTATTAGCACATTTCATTAAACCAGTTCTCTCCAAAACATCGCGAATGATAAAATTAATTTCATGCTTTTGAATTCGACGATCTAACTTCGTGTGAGCCATGACAGTTAAATGTTCCATAACAGTTAGTGATCCATAAAACAAATCGTCTTGATGAACAAATCCACTCAAGCGTCTCATGAAAGGTCCAATTTCACAACCATTCACTAAGATATCTCCATTGATTATTATTCCAGCTGCAATCATTACTTAAAAGGTAAAATTTTCATGCATCCATTGAAGTCAACTTACGTGAGCTTTGATAAGCTAAAGCTGACATTAATGTCGTTTTACCACTACCAGAACCACCAAGCATTGCAACCAAACTTCCACTTGTGATCGCACCCGTCGCGTTATTAATAATTCTTTTTATTGTTTGAGTGTTCTTAGAAGCATAAATGCTTACATCACGCCATGCAAGTGTTACACCATGTTCAGTTGGCGACCATTTGTTATAACTTCGCAAAGATATCGATCGTGAAATGTGTTTTAAACTTTCATCACTTCTACTTGATTCATCGTTCACTGACATTGTTAATGACACACTATCGTCGACGTTTACCATTTTTGTTGGCTCTTTAAAATATTTTCGTTGTTATCACTGTTATCTATGTAAATGTTTGCACTGTAAGATATTTATATCATGAATAAAATTATTCAAATCACGACTTGCCGTCACAAGAAATTATGTAAATTTTAAATTCATAATTTCACATGTACTTCGAACAATATCACGAATATTAATAATCTATTTGTTCTTATCAGTTGACAAATTTGATGATGATTTATGGCGAGCCTAAATGTATGACAAACTTTTTAATTGTATTATCAAAGAAAAAGTAATTTCTATAAGTAGGTTGTTAGTAATTCCGAGTAACACAGCGGCAGACACAACAACAATTTCAAATATTTAAATCACAGAAAAATAAAGCAACTTGACTTTCTGAATGCTTTGAGATAACTAAAATCTGAGCTCTGGAAAATTTATATTAAACGACGACTTCATTAGGTACTTTTCGAGATATCTGAGTGAAATATGAATCGTTAGGTAATTTTTTTACACTCAAATTTACTTTTTAATTTTTCAATTTTTCATATATGGATGTGAGATTTTTCATATTAAAATATGAATCGTTAGTTCACTTTTTTATTATCACTTGTTCGATGTTTTTCAACTAATTGACCAAATGATTTATTATTAAAAGAAGCGATAACTCTTCATTTTAGTTTAAAAGAGAAGAATGAAATGTTTCTTAACGCTAATAAAGAGCACAACTAAAGTACATTTACTTTGACGACTTCGACATTTACTTCATGAGAAGGTAACTTGATACACCTGATGGAAATATTTCTACCTTGACGATTCAAAAGGCCTATGTGAAGCCTCTAAAGTTTATGAAGCAATGACAATTATTCTTTCTTCTTTTCAGTTACCATTACATATTGATACAATATCGATCGTCAATGTATTTAGGTAGTCCTGAAAGATAAAAAAAATATTAAAAACAGATTTCATTCATGGGAATTTTTATTTATTTTCTTCTTTTTTCTTTCGCAAACTTTTTGAAACTTCAAGTTTGTCGTTTCTGCAAATTTATTTACACAACAGTTTAATGAAATCTTTTCAATATTTTGAAATCACTGCATTTAAATCGTTTAACAGAAAATACTTCGTTCTTTATTATGGAACTCAGTGCACTTCTTTCCCTTTTCTCTTACATATTTTCTTTTTATATTTCATGAAAAGAATAAAAAATAGATTTTTTCTAAAGATATTTTATAAACTCTTCATTTGGATCTTACACATTCATAGTGTCACTAAAAAATTATGAATTTATTACCGAAAATGCTAACGATCTCAACTCTACTTAAATAACTTTTTTGTCTATTTCTTTCATTAAATTTAATAATTTTCCATCGTCATTATTATTATTGCGAATTATGTTTATCGCTAGTTATGTAAATATGTTGTCTGTATGTGCCGAATGAGAGGGAAAATATTTTGGAAAATTTATGTAGATGTTAATAAGCTCTTTAGCAAGCTTGAATTGAACGTTTACAGTTTAAGTAATAAAGCGGAAGACAAAGAAGAACTTAAATAGATTCAATAACGAAAGTTAAATTTTAATTATTTTTATATTTATTTAGCATAAGATGAAAGAAATTTTGAGGACGTTAATTGATAAAATTTATTTTCGACAGTAGTTAACAAATTAAATTTAATCTTTTAACTAATTTAATCTTATTTTTCTACTAAAATTAAGTTCTTTAATGGTCCAACAGTGGGTTTATTAAGGAATGCAAGGAAAATAGCATAAATAGTGGAAGAAAAGCTTCGGAAAATTACTTTTTTTTTAATTTTTTTAATACCTCTCATCGGAATATTTTTAAAATTCATTTTTTGTGGTTTGATATGTGAAAAAGAAATTTTCCAATGATATTTATCAAATTTTTTTTTCCTATTTTCAATTGTCAATCAAATACTTTTATTATTTTTTTTTCCTTTTCATCACTTTACTATTGAGTTAGCACCTAGAACTTCTTATTTCTTTCTTGACTCATTTTTTTTGTAGTTTTATTTTAACCAGATCAACCGCAACTTTTACATTTGTTGCACAAGAAATTTCTGATTTCCAACTCTAAACTCTGTGCTCATTGACCTTTTGTCGAGCAGAAAAAAGAAATGAGAATTATTTGTTAAAATATGCTTTAATGTTAAAAAAGATAAAATCTTCGTCGTCTTAAAAATAAAATAATTTTTTTTTTCATCTTTCCTTTGGTTTGTTTTCATTTTTATCATTGATAAAAATCACTTTTGTGGGTTATTCCTCAGGTTTAATTGGACTAGAAATTTTCTTTTTTATATATAAATATTGACTAGGTAGGTGGAGAAAGATTGAGAGACAGAGGAGGACAAGAAGAGGAAACTTTTAGTCTTCTTTCTTCACAGTTGACTCTTCTTCGCCTATTGTAAGATGTCCATTAACATTCTTCACCAATAAATTGAGATTCGGTGGAAAGTCGATCATAGTCGTTGTGCAATGAAAGCCCATGTTGCTGAAGGCGATGAGATATTCACAAAAAGCAAACCAACTGAATGCCAGATCGTGACATAGAAGGCGATGTTTAAGAAAAAAGACAATAAGTCCAACTGTGCTTGCAATTGACAGGGCGAAAAACATTTTCTTGTAATACACCGAGCGCTTCTCTTGTTCATTTGTTGGTCCATTTGGTTGTAGAATCTTAAGCAACCTTAGTGACACCAACATGTATAGCAGCGATGTTACCATGAATGTTATAAATATTTTCTCATGCATTGCTAAATGAAAGGATTAAAGAAAATATTTTCATTGATTAAAATAATGTTGGAACTTTCATTTTTTCGTTAGAGTTAGGGTTGTCGATTGTTTGTGTTTATTTTACACATTTGAACGCATTTTAAAATATATTTCAATTCAAAGTGATCAGAAATGATCGTATGAAGCAATTTTCTTGGAAATGCAAACTAAACAATTGTGAAATGCAATCGACATCCCTATTAAGAAGGGGAAAGGAGACAGGATCATCATCATCTCTAGATAACTTGATAATTTTGAGAGAAAAGAGTATCATCAATAGAGATTTGAATAAGAAAGAAACTTCAGTTAAATGTCAGAGCCTATCTCGAGTTTACCCTTCTTAGTCATCATATTTAATCATTAAATCTGTTCTTGTTCAACCGATTTCAACTCACGATAATTCTCTTTATTACTAATGTACGTTACGCCAGCCAAAGCACAAATCTCAATCAAAGTCAACCAATGCACGAGGGTGGCGAGCTTTGTCGCTTGCATCAATTGATTCGGATCGATGATTTTGCTCAGGACATGGTGTTTTAGATAATTCTTATGCACGTATGCAATAACTAAACGAGGTGAGATATGCAATGCGATGATTAAGCGCCACAAGTAGCGCTGTGGGGAGATTCCTGTTATAGAACTGATTGATGGAATTATGTTGTAAACCTGAAAAAATTCCATTTGAGAAATGTCCTTGATTTCATAGAGCTCCTAAATAATAAAACAGGTTCATTCCATTGTAAATTCATTTGATGTTAAAAATGTTAGTCACAAAAAAATATTTTTTTCTTTTTTTCTTTCTACATAAAGTAAATGATGTAAGGTAGAAATAAAAAATCATAAATGACGTCAATAAAATGAGTGCAACATCAAATAGTGTTTGTTTATTTACAGCGACACTCATTTCATGATCTAAAATTAATAATATAAAAAGCACTACGAAATTGAAATCAATCATGAGAACAGAAAATAAAGGGAACAACGTAAGATTAGCTTAAGAAGGCTCTAGCGATTGCAACAGAAGAAATTGTCAAAAACAACGCAAAGTGAGGAGAACGAAAAGATTAAAAAAAAACTTTTCTTTTGAAATGAAAGCACTTAATACTTACTCGACAATGTGTCTCGTGAATTTCGTCACTTTGAAAAACATATCTACGGTTTTTAAATTATCAGATCATTATCAAGGCACTTTATTGTTTTTAATTTTCTTACCCAGTTACAAAGCATATCAAAAGACCAGTGAGCGGTAAAATTAGAGTAACATTTGAAAGGTCACGCATTGAAAGCTTGAAAAGTGTTGATGAGTGTGAGTCTTCATGAATACTGTCTCTTGTTGGAGTCTTTACAACTTTCTGAATAGTTTCCATCTAAAAATCATTAAAATTAAATTCTAAATTAATTCTGATAGTTAAGGAAAATTGCATTTTTTTATTGATTTTTTAATGAGATTTTGTTATCCTCTCTTGGAATTGTAACAAGCAACATTGAACAACATTGCTCTTCTTTTCAAATTAAGTTTTTTTACATGAATTAAACTTTTTAAAATTTAAGAATTTGATGAAAATACAAAAAAAAATTCGCGACTCTTACTGAAAATTTATTTTCTCTTGAGATATAAATATGTTTTAATGCAAACAATCTAATCACAAATTCTTTTTCACTCCATGTTTATTTTTATTTGTAAACAAAATCGTCAAGTTTTAGTTTTTTAAAGTTAAATAGAAGCTTAAATAAGCTTCAAATAACTTTTCAAAGAAGGACGTATAAGGGGTATACGACTTTTAATGAATTTTCAAAGGAGAGTGCCCGTGGCGGTTCAATTTTCCGAAAAAATTTTGTGCTGACATCAGAACCCTGCAGAGGATTCAAATTTTCTGTTACTTTGTAAGCCCTGACCTGTTTTTGTTAAATCTCTCGTTCATTTCAAAACATTTTTTAGTTTTCAAATTTCTAACATAGAAAACATAAAAAACTATACAATGGAATCACATCGATGGAAAGCAATATTATTCGAATGGGTAAATTTCAATGATTTATTAATTCACGTTGTTTTTAATTTAATATTTTTGAAAATTTATTTAAAGGTCAGAAAAACTGGACTTGTTGAAATTAATGGCACATTTGATCAGATTAATTTGAACACATTCTTTAAGAATTCCATAGTCAAATTACAAAAAAGTGATCCCAACCTCAGTGATGACTTGAAAACATTCTTAGCAGGTACGAAAGCTATTTTCTTGTTAATATTTAGCGGCTGTTTGAGTTATTTTTATCCACAGAACACTTCCCAGACTACGATGTTTTGGTTGACGAATCGTCAAATATTTCATCGCAGGACTTTATGTACATATTTTCTTTGTTTCTGTTCTACTCATGTGTGCTTCGCATTAATGAATTCTTTCAACAAGCATGCCAAAGCTTAAGTGAAGAATATCAGCCGTTTGTGTTCAAATTCTTTTCAAGTCTCAAGCAAGCACAGGAAGATAAAACTCACATAACAAAAGAGTTTCTTCGTAACGCTATCAAGGAAGCTTTTTTGTTTTCACCACATCCCAAATTTATCAGCTCTAGTCCGATTAAAAATGATACGCCAATATTGGAAACACCACCAAGTCATACGCTTTTGTCTGAAAAATCGAAGGAATTACAAAAGACGAGAATTATGTTAGAAGATGAGCGTTACGAACGTTACATATTGGAATCAGATATCAAACAAAGCGAACACAGAATTGAAGGACTTTGTAAGTTTATTTATGATCAGTCAACATTTTATTTCATAACTTTTTATTTTAACTTAGTGAGGGAGCAAAAATTACTTAAACAAGAACTTCACGCAATGCAAATGCTTCACATGGAGGAAACATCATCAAACGACAATGACGCGTCAACTTCATCAATAAAACTTTATCGTGATGAACATATGCGTGAAAAAATGAGAAGAGAAATAGAATCACGTGAGGATACAATTTTTACTTTACGATGTGATCTCGATTTCTTGAAAGTAACAAATGGCCAAACTAATAATCGATTGAAAATCATGGAGCGAGAACTTAAAGACTATAGAACTAAATACAATGAGCTTGCCATAATTGCTGAAGAATTTAAAACTATTATAGAACAACGTAATGTAGAAATCGTGAACCTTCAAGAGGCAAACACGGAATTGAATCTTATTTTGAGTGAGATGCCCAAACCAGAATCTAAAAAAAAAGAAACGATAGCTATGGAGTTTTACGACTTTCCTTTACCGACACCAAACTTCTGTGATAATTCATCGAGCAGTGAGGAAAACTTAGGGAAAAGTGTTATTGACATCCAATTGAAAGAAAAATGGGCCGAGAACGATGAACTGAAGGAAATTTTAAATACTGTTAGCAGCGAGAAAGAAGAATTATTGTCAACATTGTCGATTCAAGAACAAAGAATTGAAGCTCTAGAGGAAGAACTCAAAGCTAAAAGTAGAGAATGGCAAGAGACCTTCAATGAGAGTCATTCTGATAAAATGAAAATACAAGCAGAAGAAATAAAAGAATTAAATAGTTTTATAGCTGAAAGAAATATGAAAATAGACAAAATGCTGACAGAAATTAAAATATATAAAGATTCTTTAGCCAGTGCAAGTCAATACGCGGAAATGTTAACGGAACAAGAAAAACAGATTTCATCTTTGAAAAACAAAATTCGTGAGAAGGATTCATTAAATGAAAAACTTTGTCATGCGATTAATGAGTTGACTGCAGAATTTAATGCTGTTAAAGATGAGAAAAAACATGCAATGACCGCCAACGAGAAACATATCTTAGACACAGCAGAACGACACTTTAATCGTTTCAAAAAGATTCAAGAGGATGAAAAATTGTTTTCCATTGATGAGAATATCACAGTTATGGAAAAGGTTAAACGAATCGAAGAGCGTTTTCCTGCTCCTCAGAGTAACAATCGACGTTTGTCCACATTCAAAAGAACACGTTTGGATTCATCAACAAACCATGATGAGTTTATGTCTTTGTAAAAAAATTATTTTAAATCGTTTCCAAATTTGTTACCAAAATAAAATTATTTTCTCTCATTAAAAATAATTTCAAGAATTTAACTGATTTGAAATATTTGAATTTTTATCATTTCTATTTAGTCCGAACGGTTCAAAGAACTGGTAACGGAAAGCAAATGAAATTCAAAATTAACCGTCAAGTAGCTGTCAGTAAATCAGTAAAATAAAAGAATTTGTGAAATTTCTTCGTTATTGGACTTCTTTTTTTAGCGATAATACATCGCCCATGGTAAAGACTAATACAGATATTATAAAAATATGGAATCAACCAAATGGAAACTTATTTTATTCGAATGGGTAAGCTTCAAAGTTTTTATCAAAATTGAAATTGAGTTTTATTGTTGTTTTTTGTTTAAAACAAAAGGTCAAAAAGACGGAACTTGTAGAAGTCCTCGGTTCCCTAGAGCACATCGACCTAAATTTATTTTTCAAGAAGTTCAAAGTAAAATTAGATGTTAGTGATCCAGATTTGAACGATGACCCGAAACTGTTTTTGTCAGGTAAGGTTTTTAACTTTTATAAAACAAAGAAAGATGTGAATGCTAAATCCTCTTAAAATATAACTTTCTAACACAGAACATTTTCCAAACTACGATGTTTTGGTTGACGAAACGTCAAATATATCATCTCAGGACTCAATGTACATTTTCTCTCTGGTTTTGTATTATTCTTGTGTGCTTCGTGTTAACGAATTCTTTCAACATGCGTGTCAAAGCTTGGATGCTCAATATCAGCCGTTTGTCTTCAAATTTTTCTCTTTCCTCAAACAAGCACAAGAGGATAAAACTCAAATAACAAAAGAGTTTCTTCGTAATGCAATTAAAGAAGCAGTTCCAACATCACCCAATCTCCGCTTCATCAACTGCATTCCACTGACGACTCCTGTTAAGAGTCCTTCAAGTACAAAAAAGAGTTGCATCTATGAAAAGACGAAAGAACTCCAAAGGACAAAAGCAATGCTTGAGACTGAGCAGTATGAGCGAAACTTGTTAGAAACAGAAGCTAAACAGAACGAGAAAAGATTTCAATCTTTATGTGAGTTTGAATGATTCAAGATAAAATTTGAGTTCTTTATTAATTTTAAATAACTTTTTCAGTGAAAGAACAGAAACTTTTAAAGCAAGAACTGCACAGGCTGCAAAATGAACAGACGATGAAACTGGACACTGAAAATTTATCGCCAAATAAAGAATTGCGAGATGAACAACTTCGTGGTAAAATGAAAAGGGAAATTGAGACACGCGAGGAGATTATTTTTAATTTACGTTGTGAAATTGATGTTTTGACAGCGAAAAATGATAAAAGCGCAAGTCGAATGATTTTCGTCGAACAAGAACTCAAAGACTGTCGTCGTAGATATGGCGAGCTTGAAATAATCGCTGATGACTTTAAACAAGAAATTGAAGAAAGAGATATCGAAATTCAATCACTTGGAGAGACAATCAATGAATTGAAAATGATAATTAACGAGAATCGAAACTCATCTAAGAAAGGCCTTCATGATGTTTCATCAGATTGTTTGAATTTCTCTTTCTCGACCATCAACACTGTCAACAGTTCTTCGGAAAGCGGCGAAAATCTTGGACAATCTGTCATTGATGTTCAACTTAAGGAGAAAATTGCAGAAATTGCCGAGTTGAAAGAACTTTTATCGACAATTACCATTGAAAAAGAAGAATTGAAAACTAATTTGATGTCACAAGAGGAAAACATTTCAATATTACAAAAGGAATTGAAAGAGAAAGAATTCTCGCATGAAATGCTTTGCAATGACATTCAATTGTCGATGACTTCAGTTGAAACTTTGAAATCGGAAATGACTGAAATGACAAAACAATTTAAAGACCAACTTCAATTAAATTCTACGATGTATGACGAGAAACTTTGCGAAATGGATAAGAAAATGAGTGACATGAAAACTTCTTTGGATGAAAAATCGGAAAATGTTAAACAACTCGAAATTCAAATTGAAAACAAGGAAAAACTTTTGACAAACCTTAGCATGACTTTCGATGATCTGAAGAACCGAAAATCTGAATTGGATTTGGAGTTGAACGACAAGAATGAAGCTTTTGAAAAGATTGTAAGGAATGTCAAAGAAAATGAAAAATTAATTGAAGAACTTCAATTCGAAATCACGTCGCAAAGATCGGAAATTGAACAGAAAGCTGAAATTTTGTCTCAATTGGAGTCAAAACTAGAAGAAATTTCCAGAGATAAAGAAGAAAGTGAATTGAAGATTAACAACGCATTGTCACAGTTGGAGTTCGACTTAAGCGCTAAAAACCAAGCTTACGAGTTGATGGACAGAAAAGTGAAAGAAAATCAAGAGTTGATTGATAAACTTCAATCAGAAAATGCCTCTCAAAAGTCGTTAATTGATGAGCAAGCTGAAAACGTTTCTCAACTTGAAGCCAAAGTTCAGACAGTCACAGATGACAAAGAAGCGATTGAGATGAAATTTAACAGTACAAAATCCGAATTGGAATCAGAATTGAAAGAGAAAATTGAATCACTCGACATGATGACAGGAAATGTTGAAGAAAAACAAAAATTGATTAAAGAACTTCAACGTGAATTCAGATTACAAAAATCAGAAGTTGATGGGATATTTATTAATTTGTCTGAACTTAAATCAAACTTTGAAGAAGTTTCTAAAGAGAAGGAAGCGATTGAGAAGCAACTAGGCAAAGAAAAGTCCGATTTGGAGTCAGAGTTGGCAGCTAGAAATCAAGCTTATGAGTTAATCAATAATAAAGTGAAGGAAGATGAAGAACTGATCGAAAAACTTCAATTAGAAATTTCCTCTCAAAATTCATTAATTAACGATCAAATTGTAAAAATATCTGAAATAGAAGCCAAAGTTCAAGCAGCTACTGAGGATAAAAAAGCAATTGAAATACAATTGTCCGATGAAAGATCTAAATTGGAATCTGAGTTGGCAGCTAAAACTCAAGCTTATGATATGATGACAGAAAATGAGAAAGAAAATCAAGAATTGATCGAGAAACTCCAATCTGAGATCAACTCACAAAAGTTGGTCATTAGCGAGCAAACTGAAAATGTTTCGCAACTAAAAATTGAAGTTCAGACAGTTGCAGATGACAAAAAAACGATTGAAATGCTACTAAACAGCACAAAATCCGAATTGGAATCGGAATTGAAACTGAAAATTGAGTTTCTTGACATGATCATGGAAAGAGTCAAAGAAAAAGAAGAATTGATTGAGAAACTTCAATCAGAAATCATTTCTCATAAGTTGATGGCCGAGGAGAAAGATGCCGTTGTATCCCAACTAGAAGTCAAAGTCAATGAGATTTCTGCCGAGAAGGAAGCAGTTGAGATGAACTTCAATAATGCCAAATCTGAATTGGAGGCTGAGTTGACAGCTAAAAATCAAACTTATGATTTGATGATACAAAATGTCAATGAAAAAGAAGAACAAATCGAGAAACTTCAATCTGAAATCAACTTCCAAAAATCTGAAGATGAAGAGAAATCGAAAATCTTATCAGAACTTGAAGTGAAACTCGAGAAATCGGAAGAAGAAAAATCGGAAAATGACATGAAGAATCAAACAAAAATCAATGACTTGATGGCTGATCTTTGTCTGAAAGAAGCTTTGGTAGTTGAAGAAGTTGAAAGATTGAAGACAAAATTGTCAAATGCTGATGAGTGCAATAATGAAATGGAATCTCGTTTGTCAGAATGGGAGAAGAAATTCACCGATCTTGACTCTCAATACATCGAAACTCTTGCATCAACCGACAAACTTTCCAATGAAATTTTTGAATTGAAACGAAATCTTGACGAAGCAGAAAAATATAAAATTGAATGTGAAGCTTTGAAGGAAGAATTCAATAAAGTAACATCGCAACTTAAGGAAAATTCTGCAAACCATGAAAAGATCGTTGAAGAGATTCAAAAAGAAATTGTCGCATTGCAAGCTGAAAGAAATGAACTTGAGAAGAAAGTTACTCAATTGGAAGCTGAATTGTCGACAAAATATGATTTGGAAAGTCAAATTCAACTTAAATCAACAGAAATTGATGATCTCAACAATCGACTGACAATCGTTCAAAATGAAAACAAAGAAATGTTGACAACAACTGAAAATCTTCTCAAGAAATTCGAAAACTCGGAAAATAATCTTTTGGAGTTGAGGGAGGCGAATGTTAATCAATCGAAAGTTTTGAAAGCTGAGATGGAGGAATTGAAACTTAAATTTGAAAATAAGATTGAAGACATGACATTCAACAACGTTCAACAAAGTGAAGAGTCGCAACGAGTTATTGAAAGTTTGCAATTGAAACTCTTTTCGACTGAAACTTCTCACAACGAAACTGTTGAGGCACTTGATGAAGAGAGAAGCGCTAGACGAAAACTGGAAGCAGAACTTCAAAGTGAAAAGGAAAATTCCAAGTCAGCTTCAGAATTGAAAGATCAACAGTTGGAAACATTAAACGACGAGTTGCAACAAATCAAATCGATCAATGAAGCTTTAAGAGAAGACGTCAATTCATCAACAAAGAAAATTGCAATCTTAACAGCAGAAATCGATGAAATGAAATCAATTAAGGAAAGTTATGAGAAACAAATCAATGAGTTGAATTCAATTAATGAAACTTTGAAGATATCAAAGAATGAAAGTGAAGAAAATTCTTCTCAATTAAAAGAGCAACTTGAGTATAACATTGCAATAACAGCCGCTTTTGAGACTCAGGTCCGCGAGTTAACGGATGAGAAGGAGAAATTGAATGCCAAACTTTCATCTCTTGAAATTCAATCGAAGGAAAGTCAAAGTTTGTTAAATGAAAAAAGTTCAACAATCGACGAAATGATTACAAACATTGACGGACTTAAAGTCAAACATCGTGAGGAAATCAACGATTTAGAACGTCAGATGGAAGAGAAAGTTCAATCATATCAAGGAATTGACAAAAAGGTTCAGGAACTCTTAAAGAAGCTTGAAAATCACAAAGATTTGGAACAAAAAGTCGCTGAACTTAATGAGAGACACGAAACCGAAGTCGCTTTGAATGACAAAATTCAAGAAGAAATAAAAATTTTCAGTGCGAAAAACATGCATTTGAAAGCTGAAGTTGGAAAATTGAAGGCAGAATCTGAAAAGAAAGTTGAAGCTGTGCGATTGGAATCAGAAGAAAAACTCGAGAAGATAAAGCAGAAATGTGTAAGTTTTTTTTTGTTCGATGTCGTTTCATCATCCTTTCCTTCACTTATCATTTTATCATATTTCTGATCATGGAATGCAATTGAGACTCATAATCAATTAACATCTTTCGAAATTTTGAGAAAATATTTGTTTGTTGTTCCCTTCCAGATGCTCCATGATCATGAAAATGTCAATCCCAGTGATAACTCCAGTGAATTTATTAACAAGAGAAGAGCAAAACATCAAACATGGAAATGTTACGCTTTGGATTTCCTTAAATATCCTTTTGCAATTCTACTTTTTAATTTGTCTTTGTTTATGTTTATCAAAAAGAAAATGATTGAAGGAAGTTTAGAAATTGTTTTGCGTGAGAAAAGTCCGCAATTTTATTAATGAAATCAAAATTAAATATTAAGAAAAATTCTCTTGTTTGTTTTTATTTTAAATTTATTTATTTAAAAAAGCTTTTTCAAATTATTAATAAACTTTTATTATTTTAGAATGACATTTACAATCAAGGCATAACTGCAAACACAAATAAATTTGAGAAGAAGCTCGAGGACTTGACTAAGAAGCTTGAAAGTTACCAACAACGTATCGAAGAGCTTTCGGTTGAACGAATGAATCTTAAAGAATATGAGAAGAAATATTTACATGTGATGAGAGAAAATGAAGCGTTAAGGTCAAACATTCGGTTTATTGAAATAAATGGAGGAATGCAAAGTAGAGCAAGCATCGGAATGTCTCGTGCACCATCAACAATGACACATCTTAATGGTGCCAACTTTAAAGGCGAAGATGAAGTTGGGGAAGAGTTCAACAATATGTATTTAGATCATCTCAAGTCAGGTGAAAGTGAACTCTCAATAGACAAAATTTATAAAGCTGAAGAAATTCAGCATCGTAACTCAATGTGGCCAAAGCATTTGAGAGGATCTTATGCTATGTGCGGCATCGATCGGAATAATATGCCTGAACATGAATTGAGAGTGAGTTTTATTTAATTTTTCATTCATTTATTTATTTTGATGAATCTTTTCTTTCCATCAAAGGATGGCGGAGAATATCTTGACGATTCAAAAGCAACTCTGCTTCACAAAGATCAGAAGAAGAAGATGCCTTCATATAGCCGTCCTGGACCTCCAACTCCTAGCAAACAAGGAGGAAATCGCTTATCAATTGGTGGAGCGAATGACATTTTTTACAAGCCAATTCTTCAAGATGCAACAAATAAGGAAAATATTGGAAAGCAAACACCGACAAATAAATTTAGAAGCTTTTTTTCAAGGTCAAATGATGAGGTAAAAATTTAATTGTCGCACGTTTTTATCTTTTTTTGTTTATTCTTATGTGGTGTGGTTTGTGTCTGAAATTAGTTGCTTAGACATAATAATAGTAATTAGCTTATAATTTGCGCTTAATTAGTTGTCGCCAGCTACGCCACCAACATCACGTTCTCGTAAGCTTCTGAAAAAGTCTGAACGCGAAGATGATGATGATGACGATGAGGATAAAGTTAAGACAGAAAGAGAAGCAAAATGGAGAGAGAAACGATTCGATCAATTTAATCGAAATCGTTCTTGTTCAGTATCTGAAACAGATTTTCCACTTGATGGAGATGATTCCGTTGAGGAGACGACGGCACAAGATGATGATGAGGAAAATATCTTGGAAGATGATAACGACGAGACTTTAGTACCAAAACATGGAAGGAAATTGAACGATTCTTTGCAATCAGTACGTGATCACGAGGATTGGATTAATCAGCGGCATCTTAAAAGAAGCAAGAATTTCAATAACAATCGACGAAAGTCTTCTGAAGGAAAGATGAAAGACAAATCATTGTCAATGGGAAGATTTTCAGATGAAAATGATAAATTCAATAGTTGTTCATCGTTGCGAAGTGAAGATTCCGCAACACCAAAGAAAAGTTTCAATGTTAATTACATCAACACACATGAGGCGCTTGTTAATCGAATGTCAGATTATTATGTTGCACCACCTCCACGTTCTTTATCTAATGAACGTAAAAATGCTAGTAGTGATAACTCAGAAATATGCAAAGTCCGATACATTGCTTTTGGGTTTGGTCTTGCACTTCTTCTCGGATATATTTTCCGAAATGAGTTTAAATAATTTAAACCTATCAATTCTCATTTTCTTTCTATCTTTTTCTTTTTTGTTATTTTCATTTAAATAAATTTAAGAAAACTTTTCTATTCAAACTAAATAATTGATAACAAATTTAACTAAACCAGATCAATTTTTTTAACTTTCTTTCAGAATCAAAAAACACCAAGACGTCTTTCTCTTTTCAGAAGAAAGTAAAAAAATAATTACGCAATAATTAACATCAGATTCTGGACTGATTCAGGATTGAAAATACTTTTATTTTGTACATATGGGTTACGTATTAAGAATTTTGTTTTTGTGTTTCGAGCATCAAGATTTACATTATTTAATAAAGAAATAATTTTAACAATAAAATGTTCAGAGTTAGATTTATTAAAGATTTTGTTTTCCCTTTGTTACAGAAATCATAGGTGTGCAATATTATTTATTTAAGGTTTTCAGACATCATGATATTTTGCATCAAATTGTATTATCTACTTTATTTTAACTTAATTGAATAATCAGCATAAAATATTCAAACATTTGACAACAGCTGATAGCTGAGTTTCAAATTTTTTACTCTCTCGTTTCTCTTTGAACCGGTTCAATTTATTCATATCATTTTAACGGAAATTTAACTATAAACAATTTTAAGAAATTTTTAATTTGTCAGAAACCTTGGTACTGCCAAGTTAAATAAGTGTTTGTAAGGAAATCAGTAACAATGTACATAAAGTCTGTTATTATTGATGGATTTAAATCTTATGGACGCCGAACTGAAGTAAATGGATTTGATCCTGAATTTAACGCAATTACTGGCTTGAATGGAACTGGAAAAAGCAACATTCTCGATTCTATTTGCTTTGTTCTCGGTATTTCTAATCTTTCGCAAGTAAGAAACACAAAATTTCATTTAGGTAGTATTCAATAAGTTGTACAACTTTAATGGATTTTTTAAGGTTCGCGCGCAATCTCTTCAAGATCTTGTTTACAAGAGTGGCCAAGCAGGAGTCACGAAAGCAACCGTCACAATAAATTTTGATAACAGTAATAAAAGTCAATGTCCAATCGGATATGAAAATTGTCATGAAATTGCTGTTGCTCGTCAAATTGTCGTAGGAGGAAAAGGAAAATATCTCATCAATGGAAAGAATGCTCAATATAAACAAATTCAAGATCTTTTTTGTTCTGTTCAATTGAACATTAATAATCCCAATTTCCTCATTATGCAAGGACGGATTACAAAGGTTCTCAACATGAAACCTCCAGAAATATTATCGATGATTGAAGAAGCAGCTGGAACAAGTATGTATGAGAATAAAAAAGAAAAATCGATGACCTTGATCCAGAAAAAAGATAATCGACTTGAAGAACTAAATCAGTTGATTGCTGAAGAAATCAAGCCAAAGCTAGAGAAGCTTCAAGAGCAACAGCAGCAATATTTGAAGTATCAGAATATTTGTCGTGAAATTGAATATTTTACAAGAATTCACATCTCATACAAGTACGTGAAATGTCTGCAAAGTATTGAAAATTCTGAAGGAATGATTGCCAAGTTAGATGGCGAAATTGAGAAACATAAGCAGACGATTGTGAATAACAACGTTGAGATTGAAGAGATTGAGAAAAGAATTGCAGAAGTTCAAGAACAGTTGACATCGGTAAGCGTCATGTTTTACAAAATTTGATCAGTTAATTTAATCAAAATATTTCTTATAGGATTCAAACATCGAACTTAAAGAGCTTGAAAAGGAATTAGATGAACTCAATCAACGTGATGCTAAAATAAAGGCAGCAAATCACTCACTACAGGAAGATCTTGCAAGTGATCAACGTAAATTGAAAACACTTCAAAATAATATCAAAATTGATGAAACAGCTCTTGCAACGAAGGAAGAAGAAATGAACCAAGTTTGTTTATTATTTTCAAGTTTTGCTTTAAAATTTTAATTATAATTTATTTTCTTTTATAAAAGAGCGGCGATGTTTTTGAGAAACTGAAGGAAGAAGAAGCAAATGATTTAAAAGCATTTCAGGATGCACAGAAGAAGCTTGAAGCAATTAATCTTGGTTTGGCTTTGAACGATGAAGGTGAAGCAACATCCTTACAGGATCAATTAACAAGTAAGTTTAAAAATGATTTTTTTCAAATTTGTTTCAATGTTTGTGAAACATGATGGGAAACGAAATGATCAAACTTTTGTTTCATTTTTCATCTCGTTCTTTGTGATATAAAATTCAAAAAATCAAAACCCTGCATGAATTTTCTAATGTTTTGACGATTCATTAATTTATTCAACAACTGCTCATTAATGAAATGATTTTTCTACAGCTGCAAAATCAAAGATAGCAGAAGCAGTGTCGACCATTAAGAACAGTGAAATGGAACTTAAATATTCGAAGCAAACTCTCGCAACAAAAGAAAAAAGCGTCAAAACTAATGACACAGCTTACATCAAAGATAGAGAAATGATTGCAAAGCTTGAACAAGAAATCAAGAGTCAACAAGGAAAGATGTCGAAAATCCAATATAAAGAAGGAACAATTGAAAATTTGTTGGCAAGAAAGGACGAGTTGACTCGAGAACAACGAAAAGTTCGTACAGAACGTGATCGTTATGCAAAGTTTGAGTTTCGTTATGACGATCCAATACCAAATTGGGATTCACGTCGTGTTAAAGGCTTCGCAGCAAATCTTTTCCATATCAAAGATGATAAATATTCTCGAGCATTGTCGAGTGTTATTGGCGGGTCATGGAGAAATGTCATCACTGACAATGACGAGACCGGCAAGTTGATTCTTGAACGAGGAAATCTTCAAAACCGAACAACAATCATTCCACTATCGAAGGTTAAACCGTTTTTTATCGATCAAAGAACTGTTAATTTAGCACAGAAATTGGTTGGAAAGGAAAATGTAATTCCAGCGATTGATTTGATTGATTATCCGAAGGAAGTTGATTCAGCGATGAAATATCTTTTCGGTCATTCATTCATTTGTAAAGATTTGGAGACTGGCAAGAAAGTTACTTACCATAAAGATATTCGAACTCGCTCTTACACATTAGATGGCGATCAATTAGATCCAGAAGGTTCTTTATCTGGTGGAGCTGTCCAACAAGGACCACCAATTCTTGATGAAGCAGCAAGATACAATCAACTTAAGAATGAATACGATAACATCACACGTGAACTTGAACAAATCACTCGTGAAATCAACAACATTCAAAGAATCGCTGAGCAATTTAAAGTGGAGAAAGATCAATTGGATACTCTTCAGATTCAACTTCAAGCTGTTAATGATCGAATTAAATCAACAACATTTCAACAAAATCACGATGAGATTGAAGGACTCAAAGCACAAATTGCACAATTGGAGAAAACAATTGATGAGTGTCGTGATGTGAAATCGAAGAATGAAACTAAAGTGAAAGATTTATCGATGAAACTTTCAGATTCAAAAGGTCATCGTGAACGTGAAATAAAATCAGCTGAAGCTGAGATGAAGAGAACGGAAGAGAAATATAAGAAATCAAGTGCTAATTGGAAGAAACGTCAACAAGGATATGAAACAATGAAGTTGGAGATTGAAGAGTTAAAGAAGACAATTGCTGAAGGTTTAAATCAAATCAGTGAATTGGAAAAGCACATTGAAGATCTTCAGAAGCAACTCGACGATGCTTGCAAATCTGATGGCGAACTAAAAGCCCGAAGTGATCAATTGAAAGCACAAATTAAGTCACATAAAGATGCAATTGCAGCACAAAACAAAGAAATTCGTAATAAAAATATGAGAAAAGAAAAATTATCAAAAAATATTCTCGAACTTGAATTGGATTTAAAGAAGAAGGAAAATGAAAAAATTAAAGTTCGAGCTGATAATTCTGAAGGATACAATAAGATTAAAGCACTTGAAGAGAAATATCCGTGGATTGAAGAAGACAAAGGTCACTTCGGTGCTAAGAATACTCGCTACGATTTCACGAAAGAAGATCCAAATATTGCTGTAAAGAAATTAAATTCGTTGATGGAGGAAAAAGAGAAATTGAGTCGAAATATTAATCAAGAAGCGATGATGTTGTTGGAGAAGGAAGAAGAACATTACAAGAAGATTCTTGAACGTCGGGCAAAAATTGTTAATGATCGAAACAAAATCTTTGAAAGTATTAAAAACATGGACACGAAGAAAGTCGAGAACTTGAAGAAAGCTTGGCATCAAGTAAATGTCAACTTTGGATCAATTTTCAGTACTTTATTGCCTGGAACAGAAGCAAAATTGGTTCCACCTGAAGGAACTTCATTCCTCAAAGGACTTGAAGTCAAAGTTGGATTTAATGGAGTTTGGAAAGAATCGTTGACAGAGTTAAGTGGTGGACAACGATCACTTGTTGCATTGTCTTTGATTCTTGCTATGTTGAAATATAAACCAGCTCCGCTTTACATTCTTGATGAAGTCGATGCTGCTCTTGATTTGTCACACACACAAAATGTCGGCGCAATGCTCAAAGCTCATTTCAAGAACTCACAATTCATAATCGTGTCACTTAAAGATGGAATGTTCAACAACGCCAACGTTTTATTCCGTACAAAATTTGTCGATGGAGTTTCAGGGGTTACAAGAACCGCAAATCGAAATTAATTTTGTGTTTTATTTGTAATTATCGATAGTCTCGAAATAAAATTTTATTAATATGATTTTTTACATTTAAAATTCGAGACAATTTCTTAATTAATTCTTCAGTCCAACCCACCGTCATAATGAGATTTTTATATTTTAATAATTATTCAACGATACTTTTCCAAAAGAGATGTAAAGAAGCTTGAAATTGTTAATCTAGAAATAATTAACAAAATTATTTGCGTTTGTTCTTCATTCTTCTGTTTTGCACAAATTCTTCTGATGTTCTTTCAGCCCTGAAATTTTCACGGTTCGTTACATTTCCAGCACTACAAATACCTAATTGTATATGAATATAAAAATCCCAAACAAGTGACTAACTACAACAAGCGACGAGCAACGTACAACGACAATAACAAACGATGAGATTAGTTTAAAGTTGTAAAAGAAGTCAACTCCGCTCTTCAGTCGGTCTTTACCCTTTGAATTGAGTGAACTAAAAATTGTTACAATTAAGATTTTGTTTAGACGCGAATTCAATCGAAAAATTGGTCAATCTGCTAATTAGCATTTTTATGAGAGTTTTATGATTGCAACAATAAAGAAAAGGCATCATGTGCGTCACTTTTTATTTAATTATGTAATTTTTAATATTAAATGCCAAACAAAGCGCGAAAAAAAAAGTCTCTCAACTTATGTTTCGCTTTATAATTTCAGTTTAAGTTGTGCACCGAACGAGAGTTGTAGCCAGTAAACTGCAAGCAGCATTAATTAATTTTTTTTCTTGCATTTCATCATAATTATTTTCTTTTTGTTTTACTTAACTGGTATGTAGTAATCATTCAACATGCTTTCATGGAACATTTGCTAATATCTCTCAACTTTGTGACATATTTAATAGAAAATGAATGAAGATATTTATGTTAGTATAAAAGAAGAAAGAAACATAAATCTTCTCAATTAAGTTAAGTTACCAAAAACTCCCATCAGCCAATTAAAAACAAAAAGCAAGAAAGAAGAAATCATTGCTTTGAATAATGTGAAGTAAGAAAAGGAAAAGAAGACGAAGAAATAAAAATTAATGTTTCACACAAAAGTGTGTTAGAGCGTGATTGAAATTTAAGCATCACAGTTCAGAGTGTTAAGCATTAAAAGAAGAAAAGATCCATCACGATGGTCATTACTTATGAAAGTGAAATAAAAAGAGTTTAATGAAATGATGCAAAAGTTCGTGGTGAAGAAAGTTTCAAGATCAACAAACATTACGATATCATCCGACACAGATGACCAGAATCTGCTTCAATGTAGCGATGATAAACGTTATTTGTCCGATTCAGAAGACCTTGAGATATCGAGCGTAAAAATGTGTGGATATTTGAAAAAGAAACGCAATGTAAGTCTCACAAATTATTTATTTAAACATTTATGTGAAGAATAGCTGTGGAAAGTGGAGGTCAAAGACTATTGAAGCATTAAGCCATGACTGCAATCTTTTTGCTTCTTTTCAACAAATGCCAATTTTTATAAATATCTATATTTGACTAATGATCTCTTGTAGCGTGTTGGCGGTTGGACAAAACTCTACTTTGTTCTTCAAAATAGTTTATTGATGTCCTACAACTCGAAAGAAGAATACGAGAAGAAACTTGTGTCATTTAAAAATGTGATTTGTTTAATTCCTGGAAATACTGTTTTAATTCCATCATTAGAACCAAGATTTACCATTGCTTCTAATTTGAATACGTTTTATACTTTTGTAAGTAAATTAATCAAATGATTACCTCACTTCATCATCTGTTAATAAAACAAAATTATGTAATCATGTATCATTTGAATTTAGCGATGCGATGATAATAGGACTTGCTCAAAATGGATAACAGCTATTCTTGAATGTCTCTCACGTGATATTGACTTGGAGACAAGCGCAAAAAAGCCATTAACATCTGTGAAAAGCTTTCGTTCTCAGCAAAATTTAAGTAAGAGTCCAATAACAATTTCACAAAACAATCAAAGCTGGGAGAATTTACCACGTACCAAATGTATCGCAAATCACAATGGTCGAATTCTTTTAGAGCTCAATTATATGAATTGTAACCGAGCAAAGCTTCCAATCGCTGCAAAAACTGCCAAAATATTACAGAAATGTTCAGACAATGACGTCATAACAACGACGAAAAAAGTCAATTTTATTCAACAACAACATGATGAAAATAAAAATTTTTTACGCAGTGTTGATCATAATGAGTGAGTATGATTTTTAATTACATCATTTGTGTATCCAAATATCTAAATAAGTTAGCAAAGAAATCATTATAAATTATTCAATCATTCTGGTAAACTACTTGGACCAAAACCAATTCAATGTCACATTTTAAGAATGAATTTAGAAGTTTTTTTTTGGGAATTCTTTGGAAGTCTTTGAGTGACTCATTCATGGCACTTCCTTCCATATAAATTTAGTTTTTATTTTTAATGAAACATTTCAGCAGATATTTTGACGAGTCAATGAACATACCAACAATTCTCCCTTCCCAAATATTTACTCTCTACACATCTAAGTAGATATATGTAACATCATCAAAACATAAACAATTTCTAAACAAAAATTATTCCATATGCATGCGTTCAATTTTAAAACGATTTTTTCTTTCTTCTTTCTATTTTTGTGTATCCAAAAAAAGACCCAGAAAAGCATTCGACGACGAGAACGGTGATCAATTTCGATTGCATAATGCAGAAGAATCAAAAAAGCGGCAGTCGAAAGAAGTAGATCAAATAAGCAAGATGTTCACGCGGAAAAGTGAAAGCCAACGCCCGGAAAATTTGACACACTCTAACGGAAATGACTACAGTGAAATTGGGTAAGTTGGTCTATCAAACTTCATCGTATGCTGTTTTAAAAGTAGAACTTTAGCGAAATTATTTTACAGCTTCTTTGTCATTTAAATGATTTTGAAATAATTAACATGATGATGAAGAAAAAAAGTGAAAATGAATGTTTGATGTTTACTTTTTAATGTTTAGAATTGAAGTACAAATGCAAACTATGAACTTTGGATATGAAACTGGAGATTACTCTTCAATTTACAACAATGGAAACTATCAAAGTGTCGACTCAACGAAACTCAATAATAAGCTGAGTATTGAAAATATTAACGATGAGACTTATGCTGAGATTAGAAGCATTGATAATTTAAAGAATCAGCTGACTGAAATCAGTATGAAAGAGAAGGAATGTTTAGCGTCAAGAAGCTCAGATGATTCTGGTGTTGTGATTCCAGTGTATGCTTCAGTTGATCTCAAGAAAAAGAAAGAAGCACGTCGTGAAAAATCTTTAGTGAAGAAAGGTGATGATGAAGAGAAGATTGACGAATGTAATCTTGACAATGTTATTTATGAAGATGTGGGCTTAGAAACAACAGCTGTTAAAAAGCAAGAGAATAATATTTATGAATTGGTAAGAAAAAATTATTTTTTTAAAGATTTTACTTAAAAAGAAATCTTTTTTAAATCTAGATTGATCTTCCATTACGATCATCAAAGAAAACTCGAAGTCTTGTTTGGAAAAACTGGTCGAGAATACATCTTTTCGATTTCACAAAGAGATATAAAGATTCAGATAATTCATCAAAGTCCCCAAGCCCCGACACAATTAGCAAGAGACAAAAAACATCACTGACATTATCTGAGTTCAGTAAACGATTTAATTATCGTTCGATGAGAAATAAAGCAAGAAAAATGTGTACCAGAAGTAACTCGACATTCGTCACAACAAACTCTAACGCAGATGTCAAAGTTTCAACTTCATCTGACACCAGAAATCAAACGAATTTAGAAAAAACCTGACGTAAAAGTCGAATTTGTTTTTAAATTTTATTTCCAATGAATGTCTAGCTTAGTTAGATATCTTAATAAAAGTTTTACATATATGAAGAAATTTTCTCATGTCTTGATTTACCCTCAATTAAAAATAATTTATTACAAGTGTTGTTACATCAATGAGATTATCTAGCAAGTGAAAACTAAATTAGTGCTCAATTATCTTTGCTGATGATTGCTAATAAGTTACATGTATGTAAGTGAAGAAAAAATAATTTCTGTGAATATTTGTCAACAATTTTTTTATTCATTTCATCGAGAACTTTCGATCACAAGATTAAATATTAGTATTAAAGAAAAAACTGTGTTTAAATTTTAATTCTCATATTTCTGAAATTTTTGATATTCTCAATCTTTCCATAATCAGATATTTCATATATACATTTTCACATTGATTAAAACTCAACATAAAAGCCGTTAAATAAAAATTCAAATATTATGCTCCAAAACTTATTTAGATACTTCCAATCCCTGAACTTCTTCATTTCCGGACAGGGTTAACTGATTATTGTAAAACTCAAAAAAAAATTAACAAAAGTAAAAAATGAATAGAAAAGTAATTTTATGTTGCCGGTCAATAAATATACTTAGAAATTTATCAACAAATGCAAAAAGTGATATTGCAAATGCCAGTTATTGTGCAAATAATGTGCAGTAAGTAAATCAAAATCTGTAAACGTCAGAATTTTGCTTTTTTCTGTAAAAATAAAAATGTAAACAAACATTCAACTTTTTATTTCTCCTTATTTTTAGAAAATATGACAATGAAAATTTCCTTTGCTCATTACTCATCAAAAAGGGGCGAAGAGAAGCTTTAGCAATAAAAGCTTTCAATGTGGAAATTGCGCGAGTTCCTACTGTGGTTTCAGATCAAAAAATTTCACTCATGAGATTGAAATTCTGGGAAGATTCGATAGTTCAACTTTTTGATAAGAATTTACAGTCTCAAAATCTTCCTGAGCATCCTGTAATAAGAGAACTTGAGTTGGTGCTGAATGCAACGAAATTGACAAAAAGATATTTTGATCGTCTGATCAATGCTCGAAAAATTCAAAATTTAAACTTCATAAGCACAAAACAAATGGAAAATTATGCTGAAGAATCCGTTTCAAGCGTCCATTATCTACTTTTAGAATCATTCAATTGTCGAAATGTTAATGCTGATCATGCTGCGTCACATTTAGGAAAGGCTCAGGGAATAACGAACATGTTAAGGTCGATTTATAATCGCGGTCGAAGTCAGTACCTTCCGATTCCTCAAGAAATTCTCATGCAGCATGGAGTCAGTCAGGAAAGATTCTTTAGAAGTAAACCAAACGATAAAGGTGTTGAGGATGTCGTCTTTGATATAGCAACACTTGCACATCAACATTTGGAGAAATCTTTAGCTCTCATGTCACAAGTTCCGAAAGAATCGAAAGTTCTTTTCCTGCCAGCAGTCACAACGCGAAGATATCTTGAAAGACTACGTAAAGTAAACTTCAACTTGAGAGATAAAAGTCTTGGTATTAGAGATAATTTACTTCCTTTAGCTCTTTATTGGAATAATTTCAAAGGTTTAAAATAATTATTAAAATATTAGAATAAAATTTAATTATTGATATGACGTGCACAAAAATCTTTTATTCTTAAACACGCTTCTTTTAACTTATCATCAGGGACTGTCAACACGATGCGGAAAAAGCCTTCAAAAAAGAAAATGAATCATCAATAAGTTTGTGAATATTTATTAAAGCATTTACCAGGAAAATTAAAGCATGGAACTCCGGGAAAAGTTAAAACACTTTCTTCTCTGATTAAAGTTTCAGTAAATTCCAAACACGATGAAAACTTTGGAAACTTTTCTAGATCAATTCTTATCATCATGTACATTGATCCCTTTGGCATTATTGGATTTAATCCAACAACATCATTGAGAATATCGAAAGCAGTTTTTGCATGTTCCTAAAAATTGAAGCAATTAAAAGTTTTTATTTTAACAAAACTTCCATTTGAATCTCACGAAAACTCGTTTTGTTGTGTCTTCAAAAAACTCTCGAGGAGTGTTTCTCAATATTTCGGGTAAAGCAAGTTGAACTGCCGAGTTTGGTCCTAAAATCCTCCCAGTGACATTCTCTAAACCTATTCTGACATTCTTAAATGCGCCATGACGATCATTGATGATGATCCAACCCATTCTTATGCCGGGAATTAAAAATCTCTTTGAAAGTGCGCTGCATGCCAGAATCGGAACATTCTTGGACAATGAACTGAAAGAATGATATTCAACTCCAGGAAATGTAAAAAATTCATAAACTTCATCGGAAATAATCGGCAGCTTATGACGTTCAGCAATCTCCAAAATCTCTAAAATATGTTCTTTACTGAAGACATTTCCACAAGGATTTCCAGGGCTGTTGACAACGATTGCACGAGTTTTCTCATCAATTAAACTCTCCAAATGCTCCAGGTCAATGTCCCATGATTTCAATGGATTCAGGTTGTACCCTTGATTAAATGACGAAAAGTTTTATTAAAAATGTTACTTGAATAAACGTTATCAAGAATTCTTCATCCGATACCAGCAAATAAACAAAAATTATTAAATAAATTCAAACCTTTTGTCTCTATTCCCATTCCATCAGTCCATTTTTTATAATTGTAACACGGTAGTGGAATTAAAATATTCTCTCCAGGCGATGCCAAAGATAGAATGCACATTTCTATTGCATGACTGCATCCCGAAGCTAAGAGAATATCATCAGGCGTTATGTCACCTTGATTCTTGGCATATTCCACTATTGCTTCACGAGCTTCAAGTTTTCCTTTTCCCACGTTGTATGGAAATTTATCCACATCGATTGCTTTCTTAAACGCTTCCAGCAATTCTTTTGGTGGTGGAAAATTCCCAAAAGCAGTTGGATCGCCAATTTGTAAGGTGATCACACTTTTTGATGGATTTGGTTCGATAATTCTCTCAAACTGTAACATCCACAATGGCTCAATTGTTAATCGAGCAAAATCTGATATTTTAATTTCATCCCAACTGTTCGACATTTCAATAAACTGTAAAATATTCCGCAAAAAAAGAAATCAATAACGTCGTTATCACCTCGAGTCTCTTTCCAAACTAATCTAAATTTTTATGAGTACTTGAACCCAACGAGTTGACTCTAACGACTTTGATGGGATTAATGTGATTAGAAAAGAAGAAAAGAGAGCTTTTAAGAGAAAGAGTTTAAAAAAATTATCATCATGCGGCGTCACATTTAGGAAAAGCTCTGGGAATAAGCTCAGAGGATTTATAACCGCGATCGAAGTCAGTTCCTTCCCATACCTCAAGAAATTCTCATGCAGCATGGAGTCAGCCAGGAAAGACTCTTCAAAAGTCAACTTGAGAGATAAAAGTCTTGGTGTTAGAGATAATTTACTTCCTTTAGCTCTTTATTGGAATAATTTCAAAGGTTTAAAAGAATTATTTAAATAGGATAAAATTTAATTATTGATATGACGAGCGCAAAAATCTTTTATTCTTAAACACGCTTCTCTTAACTTATCATCAGGAACTGTCAACACGATGCGGAAAAAGCCTTTATAAAAGAAAATCAATCATCAATAAGTTTGTGAATATTATTAAACTGTTTACCATGAAAATTAAAGCATGGAACTCCGGGAAAAGTTAAAACACTTTCTTCTCTGATCAAAGTTTCAGTAAATTCCAAACACGATGAAAACATTGGAAACCTTTCAAGATCAATTCTTATCATCATGTACATTGATCCCTTTGGCATTATTGGATTTAATCCAACAACATCATTGAGAATATCGAAAGCAGTTTTTGCATGTTCCTAAAAATTGAAGCAATTAAAAGTTTTTATTTTAACAAAACTTCCATTTGAATCTCACGAAAACTCGTTTTGTGGTGTCTTCAAAAAACTCTCGAGGAGTGTTTCTCAATATTTCGGGTAAAGCAAGTTGAACTGCCGAGTTTGGTCCTAAAATCCTTCCAGTAACATTCTCTAAACCTATTCTGACATTCTTAAATGCGCCATGACGATCATTGACGATGATCCAACCCATTCTTATGCCGGGGATTAAAAATCTCTTTGAAAGTGCGCTGCATGCCAGAATCGGAACATTCTTGGACAATGAACTGAATGAATGATATTCAACTCCAGGAAATGTAAAAAATTCATAGACTTCATCGGAAATAATCGGCAGCTTATGACGTTCAGCAATCTCCAAAATCTCTAAAATATGTTCTTTACTGAAGACATTTCCACAAGGATTTCCAGGGCTGTTGACAACGATTGCACGAGTTTTCTCATCAATTAAACTCTCCAAATGCTCCAGGTCAATGTCCCATGATTTCAATGGATTCAGGTTGTACCCTTGATTAAATAAAACGCGTTTTCAAAAATGTTACTTGAATAAACGTTATCAAGAATTCTTCATCCAACACCAGCAAATAAACAAAAATTATTAAATGAATTCAAACCTTTTGTCTCAATTCTCATTCCATCAGTCCATGTTTTATAATTGTAACATGGCAGTGGAATCAAAATATTCTCTCCAGGCGATGCCAAAGTTAGAATGCACATTTCTATTGCATGACTGCATCCCGAAGCTAAGAGAATATCGTCAGCTGTTATGTCACCTTGATTTCTAGCAAATTCCACTATTGCTTCACGAGCTTCAAGTTTTCCTTTTCCCACGTTGTATGGAAATTTATCAACATCGATTGCTTTCTTAAACGCTTGCAATAATTCTTTTGGTGGTGGAAAATTCCCAAAAACTGTCGGATCACCAAGTTGTAAAGTGATCACACTTTTTGATGGATTTGGTTCGATAATTCTCTCAAACTTAAACTTTCGCAATGGATTAATTGTTAATCGAGCAAAATCTGATATTTTAATTTCATCCCAACTGTTCAACATTTTATTAAACTGAAAAATATTCCGCAAAATAAGAAATTAATCACGTCGGTTTCACTACGACTCTCTTTCCGAATTAATCTTCATTTGTATGAGTACTTCAACGAGAACAAGATTAGATTATAATTTCTCAAACACATAAAAGGCTCTCGCGACATTGATGAAATTAAATGGAACATACAAAGATGACAACAACAAATATTTAAGTGATAAAAAGTCTATAAAATTCGTGCGAATGCAGATGATATCGTGAATTAAAATTTTCACCTTTTGTCTCTATTCCCATTCCATACCTTGACTCCTTGCAAGTTTGGCAATAGCTTGAGTTTCAAATCTCTTTAATATTGCAAAAAATTCTTCATAAGTACTGAGCTGAAATGAACTAAAAATGGCCAAGGAAAATAAAAGTCATCAATTTTTTCACGTTTTCATCTTTATGCAATTTATTTCGATTTGTCAACCTGTACAATCAATTAAACAAAATATTCATCATCATCCAATTTTTCGAAGGCATTCTTGAAATTTCTTCTCTGAAAATTATTTCCAGTATTGAAACCTTGTTGAAAAGATTTTTGTGGCCATTGATAACTCCTTTTTAATTCAATTCAACTTGAGACGCTTGAGCAGATTTGTTCTGATGTGCATAAAGTTCATTAGAACTTTTTCTCAAATAGTTTCTTAAATCAATGTAACTCATGTCGGACTCATTACATTTTAGTCTGTAAATTGATTTTAAACCTTTTATTGACATTTTGGTCAACAAAGCAGAAAAAGCATCAGCGTCAAACAACGCTGGCTGATTAGATATCTTTTCTGACATTTCATACTCGATTTTCAGATAATCAATGCGGGCCGAATAATCTAATAAAGATTCCTCGAAACCCTGCTTGATAGATAAAATGTCTTTTATAATCAGATTTGGTGTTCTATCTGATTTTCCCCGAGTCGTAATGAACGCAATAAACTCGTCAAAAGTTTCAAAGTTCTGCGTGTCGACTAAACAGTTGAATGTTTACTTTAGCAATTCTTAAACGTAAGCATTTTCTCGTCACGTTCATTTTTATTATGAACAATGCGACCATCACTTTGTGCAATGTTTACATCATTTTATTACCTTTGATTTCTGTCTTGATAACAGTGCACAAGGTCTCTTTTTACCCTTCGCTAACTAGGGGAGGGTGATTCAATCGGCTTAAGGGATGGCGGATGAATCATAAGGAATATGCGTAACATGTGTTGCGAGCTAAGACTCGAACAGGCATTACATGACTATTAGTAAAGATGATCCGGAGAAAAGCGGTAAATTCATTCCGGTTCCACAGTTTATAAACGCAAAAAAGTGTACTATTAATATTAAAAATGAAGACAATTACTGTTTCTTATATTCAGTACTTGCTAAAAAATTTAAACCTCAACACAATTTAAATAGAGTCAATCATTATAAAAATTATTTGCATGAAATAAAATACCAAAATATTGACTGTAAAGGTGTTTCTACTTTTGAGAAGCTAAATCCTGATTACAGTATTAATATTTTTGAAGTAGATAATAAAAATGCATATTTAGAATGCATATTAAAAAAATGAATGAACTGAGTGGAAATAATACAGTTTGTGTTGGATCTAGAAATGATTGCGTTTATCAACCATCTACATCAAGTGGTACAATAAAGCCATTGATTATGACTATGACAAAAGTTTTTAAACCGTCACTTTATGTTACTTTAACGCTTTCTTGCTGGATTTTATATATTTTAATTAGGTATTATGTTAAAGCAAAAGTATTTCGCTCAACGAGAAATCAATTTTCACTGTTACTTAATAAATAATAATAAATAATTAAATAATAAATAATTAATTTTTTTTAAACTTTGCTTCTATTCAGTTTGAACGTGAGATTCAAGAAGCAACTGAAAATCTAATTTGATATTTTTGTAAAGAAAACTTTGAAACTAATTGCTTTTAAGGATCCTGAGTTCCCCCACCATGTATCTTCCTTTTGTTTGAAAGGAGAGAATATTTTTGAGAACGGCTGAGGAGAGGATGATGAAAAGAAGAGGCAGAGATAAGATAGATAATAAAGATTTGCCTGATTCTGGGTTTTTCCCATGATCGCTCTTAAGAAGGAATAAAATGGAAAATTACCTGACATGGGTTTAAGAATTTCCGAGGAAAAATAAAATAATTAGCTCAGAGTTTACAAAAGTCACACGATCACCCTTGCTTGTTTTCTGAATATTTTCAGATATTTTAAATTTTTATAGAAACGAATAAATAACAGAGACTTAAATAAAAAAAGTCTGTTACCGAAAGTCGGCCCCAACTCCGGCTACTATCGAGTTTCTATTCAAACAGTTAAAATCTAACTCCAATAAGGGGCCACTTTGTATAATGTTTCCACCTTCAATATTCCAGAAACTTTTCACACAAAGTGGCCCCTTATTGGAGTTAGATTTTAACTGTTTGAATAGAAACTCGATAGTAGCCGGAGTTTTAAATATCGGGCTTTTGCACGATATTTATTGTTGGGGCCGACTTTCGGTAACAGACTTTTTTCCCTTAAAAAAACACGCCCTGACGCTTTGAAATGAGACACTCGTCTGAATTCTATACGAAGTTTTTTTTTCTTCGCGATGTTTTTTTTTTTTCGCTAGGAATGTTTTTTTTTTTTTC